CAAATAGGCATAATAGACAAAAACTACGGGCCGGCAACGCGGACCGAATGTTTCCTCATCGGAGAAAACCAAATTCGGCAGTTCACCACTTTCGGCCAAGCGAGGCAGCTCTTTAGCTCTTTTGAGACTATTTTCTTTCTGTTGCGGTATAAGATCTTGCACTTTTTGGAATTTCAATGGCTTTACCCCGATCTCATTTTTCAAAATTTGTCGAATGGAATGTTGCGATATGTTCAGATCACGAGCCATTTTTCGGCCACAGCGAAGCGGGTTTCGATCAAGTCGAACTTTACTTTTGAACCATATCTGCTGATGTTGCTGTTTTCTTCCACAAAAGATTTGTTCACATTTAAATGCCGGAAAGCTCTAATGATAGACAGCCAAATATAAAAAAATCACACTATCACGCTTGAATTCCATCACGAATAACTTTTTTCTGGAAAATGCTTTTGTACGCTTGTAAATATATATTAAAAAAACTTCATTTTTGAGGTTGGCATCAAAAGAAAAACCTTACAATCAAATTAATAAAATTATAGTTTTTATTGGAAACCAAAAATACAAAATTTGTGGTTTTTCAACACGAACTCGTCCAAAAGATAAAGTGTGCTCTATATGAATAGTTTTTAAAATATTTATGGTAGCATATACTTGCAATATATAAGAAATGCAGATTGGATTTTGTAAATCTAAATGATCGTAACATATTCAGTTGGTATATGATATGTTTTTCAATTTCAAATGATCATTCTCTCCATTTCCCCACTGCAGGAACAGCATTCATCGTGATATTTTTTATGGAATTTTACCTGTAAATTTGGAAAATTTGATTTTTTCGCATTATCCTCATCCTTTAGATGATAATTATAATAATTTTGTCATTTCACAAAACATTCCTAATCAGAATCAAATTCATTCATATTCTGTACATTGAAATTACGATAGGCTCGACAACGTATTATGATTTTAGAAAACGGCGCCGTCCGATTTGGGGCATTTTGAATACCCTGGACAAATATTCCTAAAATTCAATGCTATTAATTAGTAAAGATTAGATTCTCATATTACAAAAATGTACAGTTTTTGGTATTTGGTATACCTTTTTTGCATTAATGAGCAATAACAAAGGTAGAATAAATACATACAAGACATAATACACACATTTGGTCTGTTCCAGAACTGCAAAAATATACAATTTTTACTTTGATTTATGATATGGAAAAAATTACAAAGTAGATTCTTACAGGTTCTGGAATGTATAACATTCAAAGGGTGGAATGGACCATACCTTTTGTGTGAAAAATACCAATTTTCAATTCCGTTAATACTGAAAGTCACTTCTCGGTGAAATCAATGAAGTGACACTCAACTTAACCTTTGACTGTCAGATGTTTATGTTGGTCGAATTAAAAATGTTTTTTAAAATATTTCTAATTACAAAATTGTATTTTCATAGCAATGGAAGATAGTAGCTGAAAATACACCTTAGAATGTGTTATATTCCGGAAAAGATGTATTCTAAATATCAACATTTTGACAAATTTCGAGGAAGTTTGTTCGAAGGTTAATTTCTTTCTATTTTTATAAAAAAAAATATGACATTAATATTAAAATTAATTTTACCTGGGTATTTCTCCAGTAATATTTACTCAGTAAAGACTTTCCAACAAAAGAAATTGTTAAAATTACAATTTACCATAAAAACATAAATTTGTATACCCTCCACCATACATAGTTTAGTATTAAATTCGTCATTCCGTTTGTAACTCATCAAAATAATTATTTTAGACATAACAAAGTATATCATTTTTTGATCAGCGTAAAATTCTAAGACGATTTAGCCCTGTGCGCCCGTCCGTCTGTTGTAATCACTCTAGAGTCAAAACGAATTAATATAGGAAGCTTAAATTTTGCACAGATCAGACTTTTGTCTGCAGGCAGACCAATTTCGAAGATACGCTATATCGGTCCACGATATCGCCTAGCCCCCATACAACGGTACCCCCCGATATTCGGTATTTTGATGATTTCAGCCACATTTTTCAATGAAACTGTCTGAAAATAAACACAAGGAGTACCATTTGAATACTTTATCCCCTGCCAGAAAATTGTCTATATAAGTCTACGATATCGTATAACCCAAATATAGCGGTATTTTGATGATTTTAGCAACATCTTTTTTCTATATAATTGTCTAAAAATCCATACTAAATATTCTTTTCAAGCACTTTACTCCCTGGAAGAGAAATATCCATTATGGGCGAATGTTATTTTTTGAAAATTTCCAAATTCGTTCCAAATGGTGGATGGTATTTAAAGTTTGGCCCGGCCGAACTGCTTTTTTACTTGTTATTGGTAAAAAACCTTTTTTCATTTTCGACAAAATTGGCACATTTTGCGAATTTGCTGCTATGTAGATCAAACGCCTAAAAGGGTTTCGGATACTTAGGTCAATTTTTCTAGACCTTTATATAGCCTTGGCCGCATAAGAAGTGATACCAATATTCTTAGATATATTTTATTATTATATTACATTTAATATAGAACTTTGAAAAATTATGGACATCTTTGGATTTCTTCAAGAATCATTGCTTTAAAATTGGCCCATTTTTTGGTATAGTCCCTATATAATGGTAAACCCCGTGGCGTGGTAAGAAAACATACTTCACCCTCGTGATTGAGTGAGTTATTTATGCTCTGAACTTTCGATAATGATTGAACTCTATGATTTCACAGATTAATTTTCCGTTCGTTTTCGTATGATTTGCATTCTTATTCCAAATATATTACCTAAAACTTTGTTCTAAAATTTTATGATACGTTAATATGATACATCAAGAGGGATGCTTAAATAAAGAAAAACTTTTTTAAGTATTATTCAAAATACGACTATATATTTATTGATAACAGTTTGTTGACATAGTAACTTGGAATGTTTTAGATATTGTGTCGTTCAGATCTCGTGTTAGTCTTGTCGGTTTAAATTGCTGATCGATTTAATTGCTAATTAGTTAATTATAGTGTTAGCTTTGTTTGCAATGACATATTCCATTGATAACAATGTACAAAACGTATACAATTTATATAAATATGGAACTTCATCCATCACTTATCAAATGTGCAAAATTTATTTTAAACCCATCTGTTTTATATAAAATCCAAATGGTTGAAGTTTGTTATCACTTAATTTTGTTAATACACTGGGATTAAATGTTTTAAGCTAAAAATAGAAAAATAAATCATATTGTCAATGATATGAAATCATTTTACACATGATCATCACGAATAAATTTGATAATGAACCGACAAAAATTTGTCATAAAATTCGGGGAATTCTTAAATGTAATTACTTATTTACAATAGCTTTGTTTCTAGAAAGTAGTAAAAATGCTAGCCAAATTTTCCAATTGGTTGATATGTCCATTTTGAAGGAATGCCATATATTTTGGACAAACTTGTAATCTCAATGGGAATTTCACATATATTATTAATTTTAAATCAGGTGTTTTTACATTTGAAAGCAGATACAAAAACTGCAACCAAATTCAGACTGCTGTCATTTCTAAGCCACTCCTCCGACAGCTGTTAAAATTATTCCAGTGACGGTTCATTATATTGTTTACAAGCGTACAAAAGCATTTTGGTGAGAATTTTCGAGAAAAAAAGTTATTTGTGATGGAATTCAAGTGTGATTGTGTGATTTCTTTATATTTGGCTGGAAAACCACAAGTGGCTTTCGTTAGAGCACTCCAGCATTTAAATGTGAATAAATCTTTTGTGTTTCGTACCATCGCTCGTTACCGTGATACTGGTAGCGTAGCCCGACGTCAGCAGTTTGTAAACAAACAAAATGATCGCTTTTACTTGCCAAAGAGGTCAGCTGAAAATGTGCACCTTCGGTTGGCCACCAGAACTCAAGCGCCGGTATGGGCCTCTATAACAGACGATGGTCGCTCTCCGCTCGTATTAATCGAACGTGGCATCAGAATAAATGCCGAAACCTTGGGCACGCAAACCTTTTTGGCCGCAGACCTTGAACATTCCAACAGGACTCAGCACCATCGCACTCAGCACGCGCCACCAAGAATGGTTACAAAATTAGATTTCTTGCTTCATTTCCAGCGCACAATGGCCACCAAAATCTGCGGATACCAATCCGCTGGACTATTGTTTCTGGAGTATTTTGGAAAGCAAGGTTGGCACTAAAAAATTCCAAAGTGTCGATCACCTCGAGCATGCGCTTCGCCGGGAATGGGCCAAAATACCGCAGAGCAACTTTCAGGCAGCGTGTGACGGTTTCATTGGCCGTTTGAAGGCCATAATTCGTGCGAAAGGTGACCAATTCGAACAAATTTAAAATTATTCTAAAATTTGATGCTATTACCGACATTTTTTGCTTTCATTCAATAAAACTAAAAAAAAAAAATACAAATTATGGCGTTTGATTACGTTGCATTTTTTTTATCTCACCTGTACAATAACAAATTTGGCAGAATTCAGAAAGATATTTTAATCCTCTGGAAGCTTCACTTTACCTTTCTATTGTACCATGCCATACAATATTTCTTATACTCTTTAATGCGTATACTGCAAATATATTAATTTTAGATGTAATTCGAGAAACTAATTTATAAGTTCATGGTATAAATAAATCAAGGTAACCTCATTTCAAAAAATAAAATACTTAAAAACTTAATTGAAAATAGATTTCCATCTCTTAACGGTCTCTTAATCCTTTACTCGATGAATCAAAAAAGGTGGTCTATTGGCGAAGACGATTTTTGCTAGTGTGCCAAATACTACAGGTCTAATTAAAAATAATATTAAATTAATACTTTTTTTTAGCTTTCGCCTCGTTAGTCGTTTACGAACTCATCTTAGTGACACATCACAAATCCATATGTTATTTAGCAATAAAAGTATATCAGCATTTGTCTTCTTTTTTCCTCTTGTAATAAAACAATTAACTCTAAAGATGAATTATTAACTCTACTTTTTAGATTAATTAAAATTGAAGGTGGTGATGGAAGTGCATGCATCCTCTACATTGCAGATTGCACTGTAAGCAAAGACGCCTTTTGTGAGCAGCAGCAGCTGCTACTGGCCATTCGGTTGATAATTGCGTAAATGATCATTTATACTGCTCTCTTCTGAACTTGTTGTTGTCTGTCATGGAAGCTATACAGACTTGCAGCGATCATCGAAGTTATCTTGAAGAAAATGAACTACTATTTGATACTTTAAAAATAATTTGGAATAATTATATGCAAGAGACTCTTTCTGATGGCGGCGATGTCGATATCAAGGTATTTATTTATTTATTCTATAACTTTTACGGTATAACAATGTTTTTCTATATATGTATATTTTTTAGCAACATTGGCTACAGCTCTTTTTGTACAATTTTCAATTTGTCTCAAAGGAATTGCTGGATAATGAAACATTTAAAATGTAAGTGGGAATTTTTATACTTTGTATTGCGAATTTTTATATTTGTATTGATATTCCTAACATTGAAAGGAAATATATTAAAAAAACAAGTAAAGAATCCTTTGGATAAAGAAAACAATTTATATAAAAGTATCAGAATTCAAACGTGTTCTACTTTAAATTACAAATACCGGTAAAACCGAATGCTGTTAAACTTTTCAAAAAACCTCCATAGACAATTTTAAACATCAAGGATTATCATCTTTCAAATCTTCTTAAATACCAAATTTAAAACAATTTTGTAGGTAAATGTGACTAGGTTTATCAAAAACGTGGATCTATACATACAATATATATAAATATATACATATGGTTTGTCCTTTGTTATATATATATATATATATATATATATATATATATATATATATATATATATATATATATATATATATATATATATATAAAAGAAAAAAATAGTCCCTGGTTTTTTAAAAAATCTTGAACTTCGTATAATGTGTACGATGTGTCTCCCACTTAGTCCGCATCATAATTTGGAAGGTAAACTTTGACCTTTGCTGAAATTTATTTAAATATTTTCCAACGACTCCCTAGCCAAAATTCGTGGATTTTTAATGAACTTCTTAGCTAAGAATATTGCTAGATCTAAAACTATATTTTAAAATTTTTGAAATCTTTTTTCTGAATTTTTAAAAATATTTTTAGAGGTTCATGATAAAATCCAAGAAGTCATAGATTTTGTACTCCCTTGCAAAGATCATGAATTTTGTATAAGAAATAGACAATATTTCTCCATTCTATACTTTAGACTTGAAGCCTAATCAGGTGATTTGTTTTTTATCATTTAACCATAAAATGTATACTTTTATTTTAACAATGGGCTGCTGTCTTGCTCTATGAAAAAAGAAATGAGAAATATTTCCAAAACCATTTGTATACCCTCCACCTTGGAAAGGAGGGTATATTAACTTTGTCATTCCGTTTGTAACATCCTTAAATATTCGTCTTAGACCCCATAAAGTATATATATTCATAATCAGCATAAAATTCTAAGTCGATTTAACGATGTCCGTCTGTCTGTCTGTCCGTCTGTCTGTCTGTCCGTCTGTCTGTCTGTCCGTCTGTCTGTCTGTTGAAAACACGATACAGCCCACATTATTTGACGTAGAGCTCCAAAATTTAGCAGAGCTATTTGCATTGTGTCTAGGATGGTTGGTATTGAAATGAGATATATCGGTCCACGTTCTGGTATAGTCCCCATATAACGGTACCTCCCGATATTCGGTATTTTGATGATTTATGCCACGTTTTTTCACGGATTTGTCTTAAAATTGGTATTTGTAGGTCATATCAGGTCCCTGAGCGTGTGGCAAAACATTGCATGTATGGGTCCAAAATTTGGTATAGCCCCCATATAAAGGTACCTCCAGATATTCGGTAATTTGATGATTTTTGCAACATTTTTTCACGGATTTGTCTGAAAATCGGTATTTGTTGGTCATAATGGGTTCCAGCTCCGGTGGCGAAACATTGCATGTATGGGTCCATGATTTGATATAGCCCCCATATAACGGTACCTCCCGATATTCGATATTTTAATGGTTTTTGCCACATTTTTTCACTGATTTGCCTAAAAATTGGTATTTGTGGGTCATAATGGGTCCTAGTTCGTGTGGCGAAACATTGTAATTATAGGTCCACGTTTTGGTATAGCCCCCATATAACGGGACCTCCCGATATTCGGTAATTGGATGATTTTTGCCACATTTTTTTCACGGAATTGTCTGAAATTTGGTATTTGTTGGTCATAATTGGTTCCAGCTTCGGTAGCGAAACATTGCATGCATGGGTCCATTATTTGATATAGCCCCCATATAAAGGTACCTCCCGATATTCGGTATTTTGATGGTTTTTGCCACATTTTTTCACTGATTTGTATAAAAATTGGTATTTGTGGGCCATAATGGGTCCTAGTTCGTGTGGCGAAACATTGTAATTATAGGTCCATGTTTTGGTGTAGCCCCCATATTACGGTACCTCCCCATAATCGGCATTTTAATGGTTTTTGCCACATTTCTTCTAATGTTTATTTTACCCTAAGGTGGAGGGTATTAAAAGTTTGGCCCGGCCGAACTTAATGTTTTTTTACTTGTTTTCATTTAATATTTCTTTCTTTTATATATCAAATGTTCATAGAACGAATATCGAGGCCCATATTTGCTTGTCAATTTGAATTTATACTAACTGAAAATATTTATATTGTTTTAGCTTTTTCAATCCAATTCCGGAAGAACTTTGTTCCTACCTCTTAGAGCAGGTCTACGAAATAATAAGCAAGTCAGATCTCTATTCACCATCAATATCGGGATTGAAAACAACGCACATTGATTACAATGTGGAATCTACAGATAAGCACCAATCACAAGAGAAAAACAAACAGTTTTTGCAAATAATTAAAAGAAATCATAATTTTGCTCAGGTAATCAAAATACATTTTTTTAATTATCAAAATAATAATAAAAAATGTATGCTTATTTCTGATTTTACAGCTTATTCTGAGACAGCCCAGCGATTGTAGTAAAATAATAGCGCTGCGACAATTTTTAACACACCAGTTGGGTCAACATTTATTACAGTTTTTGCTAAAGATCGATATTAAGGTAAGTTTATGGCGAGATAATGGAATGTCAACGTTTTTTTAAGTTTTATACTTATTTTTAAAGCTCATTTTGTCGCAAATCTATTCCTTCTTTCATTTAGCTCTTAGAAAAATTTTTGTAACATCTATTTTTTGGATGTTTAAAGCCATTTTTATATTATTATATTCAAAACAATAAACACCCCTAATACAAAAGCTTAAACCAATTGTTGGCAGTCGTAACTATTTGTCATCAAAATACAGTAAATAAGTTTAAAAAACTAATTTTCTTCTTTTACAACATTCGATGTCCAGCACTAGAATTGATGTTGATTGGTAGTTGATCAGACTACACACCGTACCACGGTTACGAAATTTAAAATCATCTACATTAACAGTTCATAATTCTTGCTTTTATTTATCTAACTCACTGATAATGCAGAAGGTTGTTTGCTTACAATACCTCGGCTCATGTGGCTTACATTTTTTGTTAGCACTTTTAAAGAAATAAGATATAAACAAGTGACATATTGCAACACTACAATATGTTGGAAGCCCTTATATCCAAATCTATTTTGAAAGATTTGGTTTCTGAAAAAATGTCAGAGAACCTGGCCCAGATGTTATCCTTAGGTTTTCACTGGGGCATTTGCTCAATATTTACGCACTGCGTAGTGTTGTAAGGTATTCAAAACAATTTCACACGAAAGTCGTAGTCCATTTTACAGCTAAATATAATCCAATGGTCATCCAAAATGCTAGACTTCTTCCCTGCCATAATTCTTTTTTCATGCAAAATTGCGTGTCGATTGGTTTTCAATGGTGACCTGAAGTGCGACTGCAAAGTTAGGAAAATTTTAATCGTTTTGAACACCTTCGAAAACAATAGACACTAATTCTGACCCTAACCCTACGCCCTTGCAAAATTTCCTGAGGATCGGACCATAACTCCGATCTATATAACGCATGCGAAAAAAATATGACAAAAATTGATAAAATGTTAAAAAAAATATTCACTTTTTATTGGCATATTTTTCCGGGATTTTTTTTTAATTTTATTCTCTTCTGGAAAGAGACCATTCCGATTTGCTGAGAATTGTGAAAATCAGACCAACAGTTTTTGACTTATAAGCAGTATATAAACAGAATAACTAAGATCTATTTCTTTTACATATATATAGTGCCTATTTTGCTATACATCCCATGTCTTGGCTATCAGCATCACTGTAATGGTCAGAAGTCAACTTTTAATATATTTCTGATTTGGCCGGGAATAAAAATGTTCACGGTTCAGCGGAAATTTTGGTATTTTTTTTACATAACAATGACAGTCTAAATTGGAAAAATTCTCGTCGATTGGTTTATAATTGTGGCATCTGGGACAACAGCAAAATCAGGATTTTTTATGTTTTTTGTTCACTTCAACCCCTAAATATCTTGCTATCATCTCCAAAAACAAAAGGCCATTCCATCATTTTCAATTTTGTGAGGATCGGGCCATAATTGCGACCTGTAGCGTGATTACAAATTACCATGGACAGACGGACATACATAGCTAGATCGACTGAGCTCGGCGAGATAGGAAAATCCATATATGGTTTTCTATGTCGTGGGACAAACATTTCGAGGTGTTACATAATTTTAAATTTAACTTTTTTAAATTGATATATATATATATAAAATACAATTGACAGACAAGTTCAAGCACTTTGAGTTTTGAAATATTATCCGACTCAGATACATAAAAAAGTTGTTGTAACGTCTCTCGTGGTATGGAAATTGTAACAGAATTTCATACAGAACTGCAATTTCTCGTATACGACATATAGTCTAAATTAGTCGTTACAACACATTAACTTGCATTTTTCAATACGACTAGGCCAATCGTAATAATGGCGAATATTTCTAATTTGTTTAAATAAAATAAAAGTAATTATTAAATATATTGAACTTATTAAATTTTAGAATTTGAAATTGTCTCAACAATGAATGCAGAGAGATAGCACCATCTCTAAAATGTATTCTAACTCTAATTACTTTTCCATTTGAACATTAATTTTTGTCAATTGCCATTTCAGTTGAAAATGAACATAAAAAGGATGTGCTTAATAGTGAAATGACTGTTTTGAATGATATGATTTTTTTTTAAACATTCAAATTCAGTTGTTACAACGAATAAATTTAAGAAATTCAGAATTCTGACATTTTTGCTAGAAAACGCATGCATTAATAGTATTATTTCACAAATTGTTTAAAACTTGTATTTATTGTTCCATGGTACAGTCAATTTTCGAATGACCTGCCTACATTCAAAAATAACTGATTTTGATAAATTACAAAAAATTAATTCTTTTTTCTTCTATGTCTTGTTAATTGTTAATTTTGTTTCTTTCCAGCTAGTTGCCTCTCAAAATGGCCTGTGTAATCTTTGTATAAATCTATTTCCCAATTGCCTATGGGATCAACAAAATCGAACTTTAACAGATGAGTGTAATATATTTGGCTTTCTTGGGCATTTACAATTGGTTCAGAAAACTAAAAGTAAACGCTTTACAGAGGAATATGAATACGTCATTGGTAGACAGCATGAAACCATTAAATCGCATCAAATATTCCTCGACTTTCCTCAGCAATATGAAAAGTTTCAAAATCAAACAAAGACCAGTGATGAAATTGCATTACTTCTAACTCAATTACTGATGAAATGTATAGAGTGTGAGACACATAGCTTGCATTCAGATCAGTCAGTTTTTATATTGATACTGAATTTCAGTTTGGATAGTTTGCGAGTAGACAATCGAGTATTTTCTTCTCTACAGAACGCTGAGATAATAAAATGCTACTTGCTTAAATTAAACGAGATGTGTCTGTGCAATCTATTTGCTCTAACCGAACATGGACTTAACGACACACAGTTCCAGTGTATCTTTGCGAAATTGATCGCTGCCATAGAAAGTAATGCAGATACTCCAAAATTACTTTATGCCCTAATATATCTGATATTTGCAATACTCCATAATGTGGTATACACATGTACACAAAAATCAGTATGGAATACAAAAATCAATCTGTACAATTTGAAATTTATTGATGATGCCGTTATTGACACCTGTCTTGCTACTCTCGATGATTTGCTTAGAAACCACAAACCCGGAGAATATGGTGGAAAAGACGTTGAGACTTTATTTGAAATAATTTTTCGGTGTCTTTTGAAAATAGTTGAAAACTTAAAGAGATACGATCAAATCACGGTGTCTTCGTCTGCGCACAACCCTTATTTACACAATCATAGCACTGTGAAAGAACGCACAGGAAATCATCGCAGGGTGAAAACAAAACAAGTGCATTGTTTGTCCACATTGCCCAGATTAACCTGTTATTTCCAGAATATATTAATTACTTTGCTACCAGCTCTACCCAAGGAAATGATGGAACACTCAATGCTGTACCTGGCGAGATCGGGTCTCTGCTGTTGCCACTACAAGTTGTCACTCTACAACGCAATACTAAATTCAATCTTCAATTTGTCAACATATTATCGAAAGTGTGCCTATAAATTTCTGTATTACAAATTAATATCCACCATATTCCTGAGGTGTCCCCTCAATATGACATCTAACACCACCAAGTCGAAGAATAATACGAGCTCTTGTACTAAATGTGATGTTAAATTAAAGTCACCGGAATTCCACGAGGGGTTATTGCAAATTTATAAAACATTCTACGGTAAACTTGTTAATAATGAAGAAGATTTGACAAATCTGTTATTTTTTCTAAAACACCTGAAGCACTTGTCGCATCTCTTAACAAATGATATAGCTTCAGGAATATTAGCCGAAATTGTACTTCCCATATTTCGCAACTATAAAAATAAACTGTTTTCCAAATCGGATGGAAACAATCATTCTCCTCAGCACACTTTAAAATTTTGGCAAAGGACAAAAACAAACAAAGATCAAAAGAATACCAAAGGTCCACATCAACTACACTTGGTTATACATCACTTTGACATTTGCCAAAAGGAGGACTACAATAAACTTTTAAACGAATGCCTCAACATATTTGCAATGTACTTAAGAGATATTCGCCTAATCAAAGCCTTCTACAATGAGGAAAATATACGTCATTTGGAAGACCTACTAGAGGAACCATTTCTAATTAGAGGGGTTTGTGATCTCATTAAGATTGGCATTGACAATATAACATTTTTGGGTGACACCAATCAGGAGCAATCTATATTGAGCCGAAGACTGATAACATTGCAATTTACTAGTTCAGAAAGAGCTCAGCTCTTGTTCAATGGACTAATACGCAAAGTAAAGAAATTGAATACCAGCTACAGCAAAGACTTTTGGTTAGATAATGCGAATGCTGATGGCGTGCCTCAAGTTGACGGCGATCTGAAATTAAAAACTGTGGATATTCTACACATAGTCGCATTACAGTGGACTCTCAACTATGAACTACTCAAAACTAGTCAGTATTTCTACAATGAATTTGCAAAAATCTACTCCATAGCCCATGAAGACGAAGATGAATCAGACGATCAAAGCCATAAAGAAAATGTCAATGATGAAGCATCAAACTGTTCTGAAATTAATTCTAATGTAACACTTAAACCGGGCGATAAGACAATTTTAGATATTCTACAGTTAAATTGCAACGCTCTGAATGCTTTCCTAATGCTAGCTCCGAAAAAGTGTTGCCCCAGAAAATGTTTCAGTACTATCGGAAGTCAAGTAAACAAAGATTTCGATTCATCGTGGGAATTAATAGAAACCTTTATTGATTCAATTCGAAAACCAACAACAACGTTGTCAATTTCCACTACATCATCAACATCATCGACAATAGACAGCAACCATACAGCCACGAGACTATTAGTTGAAGATCTAACGTCTAGTTCGTATTCAAATCAATACCAAATAACATCACAATTCAATAGCGCGGCTTTTACAGCTTTTAACGAACAAAAGTCTTCATCGTTCCTTAAACACTTACAACAACGCCAAGGCTTCAAATTATGTCAGGATAACTCGCTCAATGAAAGTGTTGTATTATTTGACATAAGAAATTATAGCAGCGGACAGCAATACAAAAACCCTAATTTCTATTATTTTCGTAATTGTTCATCTGCCAGTGACCCCGATAGAACTTTACCAACCAACGCCGATACATTATTACTTAACAACGTAACTGGAAATGAAGGCATTTTGAATAAGCTTTTCCAGATTTTCGGTTCTATTTTCACTGGTAGTCGTTCAAACTCATTTCTGAACTTAGATGACCACACATCACCATCGCCTGTAGCAGCAGCGACGGAGATTGACATTGAAGAAGATTTGCAGCCATTATTTGACGCAAACGGTGATTGTAAGAAGTTGTTGTTGAAATTATTCGAAGCCACCATGGCCATTTGTGTGAAGGGCTACCAGAATGAAGAGGGTAAGTGTTAGTGTTGGCAGCAAAACATCATTAATACATACAGTTTGTCAGGTAAATATTTTAAACGAAAATGTGTTTAAAAGGCAAGATTATTTGACGACTTATTACCAAGAAGTGTAAGAACATTGAATAACAGAAGAACATTTTTTATCTAAAAATATGTAGAGGTAGTGCCTTATATAGAGTCAAGTTAGGAAAGTAAACAATAGTGAAATTCGGCCAGTCAAACTTTTTATACCCTTCACAATGAAGTAAAAAAACATTTATTAATAAAAGAGTTTGGAACACACATTCGAACGCGTCATACTTGAAACTAAAAGTTCTGGTAAGCATGTCGGAAATAGCATCAATTTTTATAATAAGTTTAGATTTGTTCCAATTGGTCACCTTTGGCACGAATTATGGCTTTCAAACAGACAATAAAACCGTCACACGCTACTCGAATGTTGCTCTGCGGCCCACACCATCACTATGGCCGGCGCTTGAGTTCTGTTGGCCAACCGAAGGTGCACATTTGGCAAGTAAACACGATCATTTTGTTTGTTTACAAACTGCTGGACAACGAATGTTTTCTCATCGGAGAAGACCTAATTCGACAGTTCACCAATTTCGGCCAAGCGGAGCAACTCTTTAGTTCTTTGAGTTTATTTTCTTTCTGTTGCGGTGTAAGTTCTTGCACTTTTTGGAATCTCAATTTCAATATTTGCCGAATAGAATATTGCGATATGTTCAGCTCACGGCCACTGCGACGAGTGTTTCGATCAAGTCGCTTCTTTACTTTTCGAATCATTTCTGCCGTTGTTGCTGTTTTCTTCCGTCCACTTCCTTGGCGTCTGGCTACGTTACCAGTATCACGGTAACGAGCGATGATACGAGACACAAAAGATTTATTCATATTTAAATGTTGGAGTGCTCTAACGATAGCCTATTGTGGTTTTCCAAACAAATATAAAGAAATCACACTATCACGCTTGAATTCCATCACGAATAACTATTTTTTCTGGAAAATTCTCACTGAAATGCCTTTGTACGCTTGTAAACAATATAATGGGCTGTCACTGGAATAATTTCAACAGCTGTCGGACGAGTGGTTTAGAAATGTCAGCAGTCTGAAGTTGGTTGCAATTTTTTCATCTCACCCGGTATTTATACTGAGCTTTCTATAGTGCAGGGTATATTTCTTAAACCTAAAATATTGGGCCCAAAAAAATCATTTCCCAGACGATTCCAATTAATTAAATATTACCTTATCGGTTAAAATCAATTAACATTGGTAACGATTTCGTAACAACGCAGCAAAACTCAACTGGTGACAATAGTTTTACCTGTAATGTCCTGTATTATACCCCCCATATATATTAAGTTTTTCATTCCGTTTGTAACACCTCGAAATATAAATTTTAGAACCCACAAAGTATATATATTCTTGATCAGCATAAAATTCTATGTCGATTTAGCGATGTCTCAATACTACAACCTATGACAGGAGATTGTCTGTGCAGGTCCCCGTCTTCGTATAGCCCCCCATATAACGGTACCTCCCGATATTCGATATTTTGATGATTTTAGCGACATTATTCACCGGAATTGTTTCAAATTTTGTATTTGAAGTTCGTAATGGATACTAAAGCCTAAGACAGAAATTTTTCTGTGCAGCTCCACGTCTAGCCCCATACAACGGTACGTTCCGATATTCGGTATTTGAAGATTTTAGCTACGTTATTACCGATTTTATTTTTCAAGTTTCGCATTTGAATATTGTAATAGCTTATGACAAATGTTACCTATGCAGGTCCATGTCGTCGTATAGACCCTAATATAACAGCTGCATTCGGTATTTTTAAGATTTTAACAGAATGGATTTTATTGTTTTTGAGAATTGCCAAATTCATTCTAAATGGTGGAGGGCATTCAAAGTTCGACCCGGCCGAACTTACAGCTTCTTTACTTGTTTATAATTTGATATCTTCAGTGTAGTTTGAAATCAAAAATTTGCTAGTATTGGAATTTTGTCAAAATTGCCTCAGTAGAAAAATACGTTAGATTGCAGCTATATAAACCAAGTCGATAAAACAGATATTTATCTATAATTCCTATGATGTATAATGTTTAGATTATAAAATGGAAACAGATAATTTCAGTTAACCTACGATCATACTTAATATTCCTTCATAAATATAGCTCGTTACATATTAATTATTTGTATGGTTAACAAATATGATAAACGGTGGAATGGTGTCAAATGTTTTAACATATTAATAATGATATATACTAAACCATCATCAACCCCAAAGAATTTTGAATATACATTTTATAATTCACTTTCCACGTACCTCAATTTCAAATCGAAAATATTTTTGTACAAAAATCTTTTTGGCAAACTGTATTTGTACATATCGTTGTAAGAAAACACAAACCGTCACATGCATTTGAACAGACTGAATGCAAGTCGTTTATATTGCTGGCATAGAACAAAAGAAGCCATACAAATTGAGCGTATTATTTTGAAATTGCGAAATATTTTTCAACGAATACGGGGGGGAAAAGTATTTAGTAGCAGAGTATTTTTTAACACTTGCCTACAGGCAATTGTCGATTATTTTTTGATTTCCATACAACCCTAACGAAGGGGCTTAATCTTTAAAGTACCGGATGCTCATTTTGATAAGCGGATATTCATGATAAGCATAAAATTCTAAGACGATTTAAAAATGTCCATCTGTCTGTTGAAATCACGACACAGCCCACAATATTTGACGTAGAGCTTTAATGTTTGGCAGAGTAGTATGTATTGTATTTCGGTTAGTTGGTATTGAAAATGAGATATATCGGTTCACGTTTTGGGATAGCCCCCATATAACGGTACCGATATTCGGTATTTTGATGATTTTTGCCACATTTTTCCTCCGATTTGTCCAAAAATTTGCATTTGTAGTTCATAATGGGTTCTAGTTCCGTGGCAGAACATTGAATATCTAGGTCCACGTTTTGGTATACCCCCATATAACAGTACCTCCTGATATTCGGTACTTTGATGATTTTTTCCATATTTTTCCACGAATAATGGGTTCTAGCTCCGGTGGCCGAACATTGAAGCGTTCGTTAAGCTTAATGTCTTTTTACTTGTTATTTATTACTTTTTTTAAAACGCTCTCACCTGCGACTTAAATTTTTAACCAAAAATAACTTTATATTTTATGTTTAATTAATTGGTGAGTTTAATTCGGTGAGCAAGAGCCAAAAAGTTTATAACACCTCGAAAAATTGGTCCTGGACGTAAAATGTTACAGGTGGATCTTCTATCTTGCCAAGCTGAGTTGATCTAGCTATGCGAAATTTCGTTTGTTTTGGATATGTTCGTAAAGTGTTTAGGTATTGAAATGGACCAAAAATGAATGATTTTGTAGTTGCTCTACAGGCCACCATTATAGGCCAATCGACACGGAAATTTTAACGTGTTTTGAGTTGGGCAGGAACCTACCAATTTGGATGGTCATCAAATAGTTAATATTTATCGGATATATAAAAAAATATGTACAACCTGTGTGTACAGGGTGAGATAAAAAACTGCAACAAAGTCAAACGCCATAATTTTTACCATTTTTTTAAGTTTTATTGAATGAAAGCAAAAAATGTCGGAAATAACATCAACTTTTAGAATAAGTAGATTTGTTCGAATTGGTCACCTTTGGCACGAATTATGGCCTTCAAACGGCCAATGAAACCGTCACACGCTGCCCGAATGTTGCTCTGTAGTATTTTGGCCCATTCACGGCGAAGCGCTTGCTTGAGGTGATCGACATTTTGCTATTTTTTAGTGCCAACCTTGCTTTCCAAAATACTTCAGACCAATAGTCCAACGGATTGGTATCCGGAAATTTTGGTGGCCACTGTGTGCTGGAAATGAAGCGAGGAACCTCATTTTGTGGCGCGTGCTGAGTCCTGTTGGAATATCCAAGGTCTGCGGCCTAAATGTTTACGTGCCCAAGGCTTTAATACGCCCTCCAGATAATATTCGGTATTTATTCTGATCCTATCGATCGATTAATACGAGCGTAGAGCGACCATCGACTGTTATGGCGGCCCACACCATCACCATGGCCGGTGCTTGAGTTCTGGTGGCCAACCGAAGGTGCACATTTTCAGCTGGCCTCTTCCTCTGGGAAGTAACACGATAATTTTGCTTGTTTACAAACTGCAGGACAACGAATGTTTTCTCATCGGAGAAAACCAAATTGGGTAGTTTACCACTTTCGGCCAAGCGAAGCAACTCTTTTGCTATTTTGAGTCTATTTTCTTTCTGCTGCGGGGTTAGGTCTTTGCACTTTTTAGAATTTCAATGGCTTTACTCCGAGCTCATTTTTCAATAATTGCCAAATGGAATATACCGATATGTTCAGCTCACGAGCCTTTTTTCGGCTACTGTGACGAGGGTTTCGATCAAGTCGCTTCTTTACTTTTCGAACCCTTTCTGCTGATGTTGCTGTTTTCTTCCGTCCACTTTCCTGACGACGGGCTACGCTACCAGTATCATGGTAACGAGCGATGGTATTCCACTTAACTTTTTTTCTGGAAAATGCTCACCAAAATGATTTTGTACGCTTGTAAGCAACAAAACTGCAACAGTTGAAGTAGGTTGCAGTTTTTTTCATATCACCCTGTATGTATAAAAGAAGGAGACGTTAGTTACAACGTTTATAACTCTAAAACGACTGGGCCGATTTGACGATTCTCAACAATACAAAATGGTCTCTCGACAGAAGAGTTTAATATCTAAAAATACACATAAAAGCGATAAAAAAAGTGAATTTTGTTGTTATATTTTTTGCTAGTTTTATATCGCATGAGATATTTTCAATTTGACTGCAACATTGAATTGTACACTTCGTATTCCTTTTTATACTTTTCTTGTCGGGATATTATATACCAAGAAATTTTGCATGGAGTAGGGTTAGGGTAAGAATAGAAGCCTATAGTTTTTGAAGATGATCCCAAAATATTCAGGGGATGAAATGGACCAACAATTCTAGAGGTAACAATTAAAGAACAATCGACGCGGAATTTTGTATGAAGCTAAAGACTTAGACGGAGGAATGAAATAATCCTATATTATAAATGAAACCTATAAATTATACATGAAACTTTTCCCCATCCAAAATTATAATATTATATCCTATATATTACTGTCTTAGGTTTCCGTATAGTCGGCCAAGAACGAGTGTATTTGCTTACATGTTTTAAACAAACTTTGAATAAAAAAAGTTTTTGTGAGTAGAAAAATTATGATTTATCGTTTAAACTGGTTCAAGTTTCCGGGATATCGACAAATTGGTCGCCATAGGTCACAGGATATAATATTGTCTACTAAATGGACTAAAAAGCATCTAGAAACTTGTTCTCTCTCTCTCTCGTAGCTCTCATTTTGATGGATTTATTTTGTTTGCTATACGACTTTCACTTGGAAAATTTAAAGTAGTTTCAGTTTTTTTTTTTTTTTTTTTTTTTTGTAAAAGCCCCATAAATCCAGGATTCTCACACAAAGAGGCTTCTACATAAAAATATTAAGAACAAAAGTTAAGTTTTAACACAGTAGTTCAAAAAATCAATGTGCGCTAGTGTAACATAGCCTTCTTTCATTAAGATGCTAATGCTGTTTACGACCAAAACACTATTTTTGCTAGCCAAAGCAGCAGGCGCGTTAGAAAAGCTAGAACGTCAACTTTAGTAGTAATACAACATACAATAATAGTGTGTTATTGTTTCGTAGACACAAACTAGAGTTAATTATTAGTTAATAAAAATAACTATGTGTTGTTGGTGTCTGGAAATGTCAACGCCATCTCGCCATTAACACGGTCTAAAAGGGAGTATATTCTATTACCAGTTAGGTAGTTTTTTTTTGTGGTTGTACTTGTAACTCAGCCCTGTGCGGCTAAACCTTGTTACAAACAAATGTCATTACTAAAACATCCATTCATCTGAAAAGTACAGAATATCAGAGAAAATCCCATAAAAGATTTTGTATAACTTGAAAAGATGCGATAAAATTGTATTTGCGGGTAGCATTGTGCTTAAAGTGATATGATAACGTAGCTGGGCGATTTTAAAGATAACATCTTATCTTCCTGCTATGAGTGATTATTATGAATTTTCGGTGTGTTTTGTCTGGCCCAAAAAAAATTAAATCCCAAAATGGCATGCATTCATTCATTAAATCTTGTACACAGCAAACAAATAAATTGTAATTATAAAAATCTTGTTTTTATTTTTTTACTTTACAGTGGAAAAAATGCAAAAACATTTGCGCAAACTAAAAATGGTTATATTAGCGAATGCTGCCAACAATTGGGAGCAACATGCAGAAGAGCACAATCGTGAGAATACAGTGTTACAAACATTACAATGCCTGCTTAAAATTGCAGAGCTTTCTAATATGAGCAATGAACCCGCGGCCGTAGTAACTAGTACCAGTGTTTTAACATCTGTTACCACAGATGTTCATAATCAACCGAATTTCGATTTGAGCACAAGAAGAAAATCATGTAATAGCTCTCGCATTTGTGGTCAATGGAGATCATATAATTATCCACTATTATCTACTGGACTGCCTAGCAAAAACGCCCTTGCAACTCCTATTACTCCTTCGCAAAAAAGACCACTTTCGGGTGAAAGTTGTGATGTTGATTATTTCTCGACAAGAGCATCAGTCAATTGTCCGGACAGTGAACTGGAACTAAGTGAAAATGATCAAGAGGATTTCTATTTAACTGCCGACGAAGGCTATGAAGCCGATGGCGAAATTCAAGACTTATCCGAAGCAGAAACATTTTCAGATGTTGGTGAACTATGGCACTCATTTCAGCCATCTTCACGTTATCGCACTCATATTCTGCACGAAGGTATTTGTCGACTGGTTGTTGACATTTTAATTGAACTCAGCCAAAAATGCTGCGAGAGTCCAGTAGCTGGTTGGTGTGATAATTTAGCTCAGCTGGTTAATCGTTTGTTTGTTATTCGCGAATATTTGGGAGGACCTCTATTTCTTCTCAAAGGATTTGCACCGATTTTGAGGTGCAATGATAGTCGCTTGCGTGAGCTACAGCAGTCTATATTGGAGTTAATAGTTGACCTCAATTCGCCAGAAGTTCTAACAGTATTTTTCGGAATATTATCATCGAAAAATCCACCTGTCGATATTTTGGTAAAATATATGCATTACATTTGTTCAAATACTTTGAAAAAGTGTGCAGCTAGTGTGGAATTGGAATTTCCCATTGGTAATGGTAAGAATTACATGTTTCATATTCAAAATAATGGCAATTTTTTACTAAGAAAGAAATGATAAAAAAAACAGTACCTCGATTAATCTCGATTAAAACAACGAGTGTGCCACACATTAAATTTTTTTCTCAAAAATAGAAAGATGGATCAAAAAGCGAGTCCTCTCTGCTTTAATATTAATACAACATAAAATTGTAACACAATTATTTAATATTTACATAATTACAGATGAAATATGTATATCCACTGCTGAAAAAGAGCCCGCAGAAGCCATTGAACGCATACGATTTTTTCAATTATCACGCAAAGCATGTACACCACTAACACGTTCACCGTGCATTCTACCCATAACTCATACACGTCTATGGACTCCCGAAGGATTTACAATTTCTTTGTGGCTTCTTGCAAAAGGATCACAGAATCACAAAAGTACCAGCCAAATCGTTGATGATGATACCCGATCTTCAAATGACGTTTACATGGTGAGTTCTCGAATTTGAAAATTGTGTAAACATATAAGTATGACCTAAGGGCACCCTTTATTTTTTAGAAAACACATATCATATCAATTGGAACCAATCAAGCAATGTTAAGTGTATATTTAAATAACAATCTTCAACTGGTATTTGAAACATGTAAACCCAATGCGGAGACAATACGCAATATTAATTCTCCCATGGATGAACCAACTTCAAACGAACCAAACAATGAAAATTCATGCAAAAATCCGACACGAAGTCCAGAAATGAAACGTAATAGAAGAACGAACAACTTTGAAAGTCCAGACATAGAAAGTCATGAAATGGACGTACTTTCTGCAAAAACCCATACAGCCTCACCGATTTCTAAAGCTCTGAAACAAACTAAAAATGTAATACTTAACAGCTTTAGTAACATGCATTTATTCAACGGTCACCCGGAATCACCAGAATACTTTGAGAGCGCCCAAATAGATCTTAAACAATTCCGTATGAACCGTAATAGGTGGACACATTTTACAATAGCCGTTGAAATGGTTAATGATGCATTGGAGTTGTGTGTTCACATAGATGGTCTGGAGCAACATCGTCTTTCATTGCCATTTTATAACATACGTTCACTCACTAGAAATCACACCTTTCAGACAATTACCTTGGGCGATGGAATCGTTTCAAAATCTCCCAATACTACAAGTTTTACTGAATCACGTTCTACATTGGATAGTTTCCCCATGCATGTGGCAATGACAAATATTATATTATTCAACCGTTCCATAACTCTTAAAGAAGTTATATTAAATCTTACTGCTATGGGTCCCGATTTCAATGAACTTACTCAATGTCATGTGGCCAATTTGAAACCCAATTATGGTTATCTTAATTGCTCCAAGCTTCAGTCGCCACATTTTTGTAATTTTGGAGATGCTATGAAATTATTACGTGAATCGCGAGTCTTGTGCTACTCAGCTTCTCAGCCGAATGTTATAATGGCCTACGATGCTAGCATAGAATTGGATAATGTCGCATATGGTAAGTAAAGTTGGCTTTACTTTGGTAGAATATTTAAAAAATGGACCATGTCTAGTTAAAAACAAACCAGAAAGTCCTAGAAAATAATAATTATATAATGGATACTGAAATTGATTTCTCAACCAGCTTAACATTGGAATGCATCGCGATGTTTGAACCGATAATTATTTTGCTTGTCTATTTTAGGCCGTCAGTATGGTATTATGCGTTATGGTGATTTGCAATGCAATGAATTGCAATCAATACAAACATCAACAATCCTATGCGGAGGTCTATCGAATCTTTTGTACCTATTTGCTAGAGTAAGTTCTATTATACATGAACATGTATAAACATTAATATTTCGGTATTACTTTCAGATTGTCGAAATAACACCAAATTCAACTACCCAAGCCATGGCATTAGACATTTTATTGACTGTGGCGTTTTCGGAGTCACAACTTTATACCGAATTCCAACGAAATGATTACATAAGTCTTATAGGTTATGTCATAAAAACGGATAAATGTAGCAAGGACTGCCAGTTGCTTCGAAGCATAGTAAATAATGCATGTTCCCAGACGGTCATTCAAAAGAAAGGTGACTCATTGCATATTAATGAAACGACCGTAGCAACTGTAATCTACCCGAAACTGTTGATATCTGTACTTCATCGATACTCCGATTGGCATCGTTCCGGAGCAGAAAATTCAGATGTCTTAGATATGCTCTTCCAATGCATTCTGGCATTGACACGAGAAAAACATCCCCAAAGAGATTTCAATATCGAACAATTCAATAAGGAAGGTCTAATGAAAGAGCTTTTAAATTTGTTTAAAGTCTATGTAATAGAATCGCCAAATCCTGTTTTCATATCCAAAAAAGCCGCCGAGGCTTTTGTTGGTATACTTTCAGTATTTGCGGGTTCACCACCTAAGCCTAGTTTGCTGGATGAAATAATGAAATTACTTCTCCTGCTTCATAAGCCTAGCGAATGCTATGTAACACATGATCGTTCAAAATTTTATTTTTTACTTTCATCGGAAAAACCAATAAAAGAGAAATCTTCCCTTGGATCAGCAACTAATTTCGGTCGAAATTTTAAACAAAACTTGACCAAAAGAACGCATCCTGGAAGTGCTAAGCCATTGGAACAGATATGTACCAGCTCAAAATCACACTCGAATTCATCGAATGGAGCTGATAGCGATACTGCTAGACAAGCCCGTATAAATAGACTAAGAAAACTTCATAGAAGTATGTCGTCTTATAAAAAACCATTAGATGAGTTTGAAGAAAATTTGGAAAATGTGGCTGATTGCTCAAAATTAAATAAAAATGCTTTTCGCCTTATCAATCCGGAAGAGGCTCTGAAATGGCGTGTTAAATTTAAAAAGCAACAACCTAATAATTTTTATGGGTGTGCATTGCAAGTAGCTCAAGTATCACATAGGCACTGTCGGTCGAATAGTAAAACTCACCTACACTTTTCATCGCCACATCACAAAATAAGACGTAAAAGAATCCGTTTGTGTGAAACAGCATCCGCTCGTTGCCCCAACACTGCGAATAGAGATAGCCACCGAAAATCAATCAACGTTATGGGACATTCCCTAACTGCACCACCATTTTTAGGAAATGTTTATGAATATCCTAACTTTAATGCAGTTTTCAATTCCAAGTCAAGGATGCAAAATCGCAAACAACGAATGTTGGTTAAGACAGACTCATATGGTTCAGTTGGCATTGCAGCTTTGCAGAGTGGTCTTTTACTATTGCTAAAAGATTTCCTTTGTCTTCTTCCCGATAATGATATTGATGACGTAAGTCCTTCGATAACATGCACATTTATTAAATGATAAGATCTACATATTCCAGGTATTACACCACTACATAAAAGTAGAATTTTTACTAGTCTTGGCAAACCATCAAAGTTCAAATGTTCGCGCGGCCGTTATTAAATTGATGAGTTCGTTGACGCAACGTTTGTACCCGCAAGATATTCAAGCATGTTGTAAGGCATACTATCCTCATCATTTAGCCAACCAATTAACGATTGGCCTCTGCGATTGTAACATGTTCGAATCCTGCTTGGAATGGGTTTGTGGTACTCTGGGAACACTGCACAGTATACTGAAATATAATGTTCCATTGTCGATCCAACAACGTTTTGGTTTAAATGCTTTATTGGCCGTCGCATCGAAATCCGTTGCCTCAAATACATGCCAAAGTGATTTCTGTGAAAATGCTTTCAAAATAATAAAAATATTATATGAAGGGGTAAGTTATAAGAGCAAATTTTAAAGCCAAAAAAAATCACAAACGACATTTTATTTGAAGGAACTTGAAGATCAATTGGCCATGATTGAGGCAGGTCTTATTCAGTGTTGTGTCAAGGCATTATATTATCTTTATGCCAGGACTACACCCTACAATACAAAGACGGAAGATTCAATTGCTGACACGCTAGTATACATAGGAAACATCTCATTAAAATCCGTAGGACACATTAATGTAAGTGAATTTTTCAACATAATTTCCATTGCTACTCTCTCTTTCAAAAATAATCGAAAATGTCGGGTTCATTTCTTATGGAATGTTCAAAATTTTAAACTTAAGAAATGGCATTATGTGGTTTTCACAATCTATATTTGTTTATTTATTAATATTGGGATTAATATTGGATTATAATCCAAATAAAACGAAGGTCATCGTATACGCAATATAAATATTTTTATAGGACAATCAGGGGTTGATATATTTGACAAGCAAAGATGTTTGGGAATAATTTTAGATAACATGCTAAGTTTTGACTCTCATATTGATTGATATTCTTTAATCTACGGTTTTCTGTATTCTACGCAAGTTATACTCTGTAAGCACATTTTTACTACAAGGGTCAAGGCACTGTTAATACCTCATCTTGGAAGTAATAGCTAGTACATCTGTGTATAATCTTTTGAAATTAAGCAAAATTTTGAATATGATAATCAGATTTGTGTATAATTTACAACATACAGGGTGAGATAAAAAAACTGCAACAAAAGCAAGTATCATAATTTTTACATTTTTTTTTTTTTTTAATTTTATTGAATGAAAGCAAAAAATCTCGGAAATAGCATCAATTTTAGAATAAGTTTGTTTGAATTGGTTAACTTTGGCACGAATTATGGCCTTCAGACGGCCAATGAAACCGTCACACACTGCCTGAATTTTTCTCTGCGGTATTTTGGTCCATTCCCGGCGAAGCGCTTGCTTGAGGTGATCGCCACTTTGGTATTTTTTAGTGCCCACCTTGCTTTCCAAAATACTCCAGACAAAATAGTCCAACGGATTGGTATCCGGAGATTTGGTGACATTGTGCAGAACCTCATTTTGTAACCATTCTTGGGTGGGTCTGCGGCCAAAATGTTTGCTTGCCCAAGGCTTTAATACAACCTTCAGCATATTTTCGCGATAATATTCGTCATTTATTCTGATGCCACCACGGTCGAATAATACGAGCGGAGAGCGACCATCGGCTGTTATGGCCGGAGCTTGAGTTCTGGTGGCCAACCGAAGGTGCACATTTTCATCTGACCTCTTTGGCAAGTAAACACGATAATTTTGTTTGTTTTCAAACTGCTGGACAACGAATGTTTTCTCATAGGAGAAAACCAAATTAGGCAGTTCACCACTTTCGCCTAGTGAAGCAACTATTTAGCTATTTTGAGTCTATTTTCTTTCTGTTGCGGTGTAAGTTCTTGCAACTTTTGCACTTTGGAATTTCAATGGCTTTACCCCGAGCTCTTTTTTCAATATTTGCCGAATGGAATATTGCGATATGTTGAGCTCACGAGCCATTTTTCGGCCCCTGTGACACGGTTTCGATCAAGTCGCTTCTTTACTTTTCGAACCATTTCTGCTGATGTTGCTCCTTTCTTCCATCCACTTCCATGACGTCGGGCTACGCTACCAGTATCATAGTAACGAGCGATGGTACGAGACACAAAAGATTTATTCATATTTAAATGCTGAAGTTCTCTAACGATAACCACTTGTGGTTTTCCTGCCAAATATAAAGATATCACACTATCACGCTTGAATTCCATCACGAATAACTTTTTTTCTAGAAAATTATTACCAAAATGCTTTTGTACGCTTGTAAACAATATAATGAGCTGTGACTGGAATAATTTTAACAATAATTTTAATTTATAATCTTTTGAAATTAAATAAAATTTTGAATATGATAACCTGACTTGGATATAATTTACACTTAAGTGAACATATATCATTATGTTAAAAACTTGTCATGATGTTATTTTCGAAAATATATTGATTTACGCACTTCCATAAGGTTATTAAAACTCTATATCGTAAGCCTTAGTGTTATTTATTTTCTTTTTCGCGTTATAGAAACACTCTGATAGTACCTCAAATACATAATGCCACTTTAAACAAATGTTTTGATGTCCGGGTAGCTAGGGTATTTAAACAAATTGCCTGTAGAATTTCATATATATTTATACCCTATTTGGTCTAAAACTTGGGTTGTATCTATAGATTGAATGAGCGTTTAATTTATTTTTTTTTAATTTTACTTAAATACAATAATGAAGGGTAGAGAGCCAAGGAATATGTTTAATATTGATTTTCGATTAAAAACTTTGTAATATTTATCTAGGCCCAGAAGGCTTTTATATTACTAAATAAATAAAATAAATATAATAATATGGATACAAATCCTATTTTTTAATTAATAAAAAAAAAACATTTTAATTACTAAAATTGAATCGTGATGTAGCGTATTAAAATGCTTTATTATTGTTTAAAATTCTTTAAGATTTTAGATTTTTAAGATTTAAACATTTCACATCCTTCCAGATCATTTGGGATATTGTAAATGCCTTATCCTTTTATCAAGAGAAACAGCCACAAAATATTTTGAAAGGTTACCGTTCTATATTAGCTAAATTACTACTTAACTGGCTAAATGGATTTTTTGTGCCAACAAATGTACCATGGAGTTTTAAAGGTAATTAATCACAGTTGCCTTAAGTAAATCTATGAACTTACGATATTGCTTTCTACTTCATACAGTTCAACAACTTCCTAATTTCTCAATGTCCGAAACAAAAACTAGACTGGAGCTTCTAATAAATCGCAGCTGTCAATTTTTCATGATTTTCAATGAAAAATCAACGCCAACACCGCATGAAATTGAATTATTTCAAATGTTGGTCTCCTACAGTATTGCTACCAATCAACGTTGCAACAATTTTATAGCATGGGGATTGCAACCATCACATCCACGTGATTTACGGTGTTTTATAGTTGATGCATTGTGGATCTCGTGTCAGGATGACTTTTTGCCCGCTATTATCTGTGATGGAAAAATGATTAAGGCTCTGTTGTGGCTGAGTCTTTTAGAAGATTTGGAGGAACCCATCACGAACTTACCGAAGTTGTGTAAGCGTTTGGGTATAAATGAGAACGATTCAACATGGAACCTTGAAAATGAACTACAACGTATTGATGTTCAAAAATCTACAGAAGTGGTAAAACAAAAGACATCTCTAGAAAAGACGGTATATCGTTTTGAGTTATTGGCTCAGGGTTGTATAGAGACTTCCATGATTACAACCAGAAGAGTAGCAGAATTACAGGTAAGGGTTCTGAAATGGCATATATTCTTTATAAAGGGATTTCCCGAATACTTATTTTTGTACAACGGATATGATATAATCGAACTGTAAAATTAAATCAGCAAAATGTACAGAATAAAATTAAAGTTATATTAATTATTTAGTATCTCCTAAACTATTCTAGATTTGAAAAAAAAGTTCCAAGACAAATTTAGAAAGTAAGAACTTTTTTCTTTTGTTCCTCATTCTAGCCAAAATAAATAGTTTTTATACCCTACAACACTATGTGTTGGGGGTATTATAAGTTTGATTGGGCCAAAAATTATGTAACACGTCGAAATATTGGTTTTATATGGATCTTCCTATCTCGCCGTGCTGAGTCGATTTAGCTATGTATGTCCATCCGTCCGTTTGTCCGTCTGTCCATGTTAATTTGTAATCACTCTACAGATCGTATAATATTTAGGGGTTGAAATGGACCAATAACTGATAAATTTCCTGATTTTGCAGTTGCTCTACAGGTCCCAATTATAGGCCAATCAAAACGGAATTTAGGATGGGGATAGAGCTTAGGGCTGGGCAGAAGCCTTCCAATTTTGATGGTCATCGGGTAATATTTAGAAATAGACCATAACATGTGTGTTAAATAAAAGTCAAATTTTCAATTAAACCGCGAATATTTATAATCCCGGCGAAATCACAAATAAACGAAAAGGTCAATTCTGACCGTTACGTAGATGCCAAGAGTAAATATGTCGGATATATATAGCGAAATATATACAATGTGTATATACAAAAGAAGGGGATGTTAGCTAGAATACTTATATCTGGACCGATTTTGACAAATTTTGTCAATATAGAATGCCCTCTTTTTTCATATTTTTTATCGCATGCGATTTTTTCTATTTGACTTATAATATTGAAGTGTCTATTTTGTAATATTTTTTCACTTTAAAACAAAGGTTAGGGACATCATATACAGATTACAATTATCATCCGATCTTTACGAAAATATTCACAAGGGTAGGGTTAGGCTCAGAAGGGGTATATTTAGGGGTTGAAATGTACCAACAACCAAAAATGTTCTTGATTTTGCAGCCATTATAAAGGTCACAAATAGAAATCAAAGGACACGAAATCTAGCATGAAGTTAGAGTTTAGGGCAGCGGGTAGAATGGACCACTACTTTTGTGTGAAACATGACATAATTTCAAAAGCGACATCTTCCAAAAGGGATTTGAACATAAGGGGGCTTCTAACATGTTGTAGGGTATCAGATGGTCGGCCGCGCACGACGTTGTGCAGACAAATAAAAACTGTAAAATCACATTTTATATAAAAACATATAATTTTTCTTGACTACAGAATTCGGAACGCAAATTAATTATGAACCACATGAAGGACTACGATGATACTCACTACTACAACAAGTGGCTCGAAATAGTCAGAAGGATGACCCATGAGGGCGCTCCATGGTTTAGCGAACACAACAGCGAAAAGTAATCTTTATTGTCCAAAATTATGTATGATGTATGTTATAAGGGCATTATATTATTCTAGTTCCTGGGAATTGGATGCAACCGAGGGACCATCAAGAGTGCATACTCGACTCAAGCGATGCCATTTAGATCTCGATAAACGGTTCTTTATGCAAATTTATGATGAGTCTAATGACGCCACCAAGAACGCAAAGTCCATCGCACAACGTTCAGAATACTCTCGACCATTGGAATATCTTATATCTAGCTATGACCAGCAGTTGAACATATCATTAAATTCACAAATTCTCTATAATTTTCCTGCCAAATTTTTGCCAGTCGATGGAGAGATAGATGGCGAAATAATTGTGACCGACCATAAGCTTTACTTTTTGGCTACATATCGTTGTAAATATTTTTATGTGAACTGTGATATATCTAATATAACAGAAATTTGGCTAAAACGTTATCAGCATCAGGAGAAAGCCTTCGAAATATTTTTGGATACAAACCAATCGCTTTTCTTTTCTCTACAAAATCAAGAGGATTGGAAAATAATGCGCGAAGTATTCTGTGATAAAATTGTTATTACACCCGATCAAAACAAAGTCCTCTTGATAACACAGCAATGGCGAGAGGGTTTACTCACCAACTGGGAATATTTGATGACTTTGAATCAGATAGCAGGACGAACATACAATGATCTCATGCAATATCCAATTTTCCCATGGATATTGTCGAATTACACATCGGATATTTTAAACTTGGCAGAGCCTCGAAACTTTCGCAAGTTGCCAAAACCAATTGCAGTACAAAACGAAGAAAACGAACAGCATTATATCAACAACTATACCGTAAGATAACAATAGATATCATTTCATAACAATATATATTACTTTTCTATTCTATATGGATATATTTCCAGTACATAAAGAACACGATGACTAATATGGGTTCAATGATATTAAAGCCCTATCACTACAGCTCGCATTATTCCAATTCTGGAACAGTTTTACATTTCTTGGTAAGAGTACCACCTTTCACCAGTTATTTTTTACGATATCAGGGTAAGTAGGATAAGGTTCACGTACCCGACCACTCTGCTATTTCATTCTTACATGATTTCTAGATAACAACTTTGACATACCAGATCGCACTTTTCATGCTCTAAGTACAACATTTTGTTTGGCTAGTAGAGATTCGCCTACGGACGTTAAAGAACTCATACCCGAGTTTTTCTGTTTACCCGAAATGTTTGAGAATTTTGAACGCTTTAATTTTGGTTGTCGGCAAAATGGAGAACGTGTAGAAGATGTTTTATTACCCCCATGGTGTTTAAAAGATCCCAGACTTTTTATTCTGATACATCGCCAAGCCCTAGAATCGGAATTAGTGCGAAATAATTTACATCAGTGGATAGATTTAATTTTTGGATATAAACAAATGGGTGAGGCAGCTGTGGAAGCCATTAATGTATTTCATCCTGCGGTGAGTTGGAATAATTTAAAATTCTTCTTTTCAATAATACGAAAAAAACTATGCAGACCTCTCAAAAGTATTTTATATTACCCTATGTAAAAAGTCTTGTGTTGTTTTCTGTTTTCAGACATACGCCGTATTTCTTGAGTCTGAAATTGAGGATCCCATTGAACGAGAAGCTGTTCAAACCATGGTTAAAACTTATGGTCAAATGCCAAGACAGTTATTTAAAACTCCTCATCCTCCTTCAAAACATTTGGCATATCAGTGTGATAAACAAATTTTGCCTAGCGTTCGTGGTTTAAGGTGGGGCATATATGTCGGTTCACCACAGCTGCCTGAACCATTCTTGGGCAATACTCACAAACTCATTGGTGCTGAATACTTGTTATCATTTAACAATACGAATGTAGTGTATGGTTTGCCGTCACACTCTTGTGTTATGCAGGGTGCTGAAATGGACACATTCAATGTCATTTCCTGGGGATATGATGACCGAATTGTTCGTATACAACCGCTAAATAAACTGAATGCGAAACCAAAAAATCTCCTGTATAATAGCACTTTTGATGATATTACAGCATGTGGCTGTGATCCAAATTCAAATCAACTTTGGTTTGGTCACAAATCCGGTCGCATTTCGATCTATAAATGTTCCAGTATAGAAGCAAGTCAGAAAAACGGGAAAAGCCGCCAAAGCTACGTCAAAGACATACGTTTTTCTTACAATTCTGTAATTAACAAAATAATAAGTAAGGCCATAGACTCGGACGGTGGCGATTTAACATCATCTACTGCTTCCGCGAATTCCCTGAGTTCCTCGGAAAATAATTTGCACAAGGATGGAGCAGATTTGTATTGGAGTGGCCCGACAGTATTAATTCGACACACAGATGAAATAACATGTATTACACTATCGGTAGAATTTAAAATTGCAGTGACGGCTGGAAAAGACGGTATTGCTGTGATTTGGGACCTGAACGAGTAAGTATCATATATATTTAACATGTTTATATCCTCCACCTTGAAAATAAGGGTATGTTAAATTTGTCATTCCGTTTGTAACACCTCTAAATATTCATCGTAGACCACATAAACTGTATATATATTTGATTAGGTTATGTTAAAGGATGCGCGGTTGTGTAAACAACCACTCCACTCGGTGACCTATTGGTCCATTGTGTTCATCCTAATTTAGAGAAGATGGAAGAATAAAATAATAATGAAAAGGAAGGAAACGAATAGTGAAGAAGCGAGAATTTTGAGGATTAAGATAGAGGAGTTAGTAAGTTTGTATCCACGGTGTAATCAGCATGTCGCACTTACCCATTTTAGTCTTCTGGCTAACTGAAGAATGACTGCTGGCCGGGTTTCGGAGAGGGATGACAGGTCGAGCAGAATTTGGTTACCCTATAGTCTCTGTCTCACTCCGATTAGAGTTGGGCAGTGGAAGAGTAAGTGCTCCACCGTCTCAGTTTCCTCCTCGTCCTGACAAAGCATGTAGTATTCAGTATAAATAAATAATAAATTCTATGTAGATTTAAGGATGTCCGGTCCACATTATTTTACATAGTGCTTTAAAACGCTTTGATATGACAGTTTGTCTTGTGTCTAGGATTGTTGGTATTGAAAATTATATATATCGGTCCACATTTTTGTATATTGTGTTGTATGGGAGCTAGACGAAAACATATTCGGTATTTTGAATATTTTGAGTAATTTTTTCACGATTTTTTTGTTTGGTATATACAGTTTGTAATGGGTTTTACCTCATGTAGTATATCATGGTGTATATAGGTACACGTTTTTTAAAGCCCTCATATTACGGTACCTACAGATATTCGTTTTTTTACTAAAAGTTCGGGCTGGACGAACTTAATGTTTTTAATTGTTTAAAGGTATTTAATTATCGATATTTTAATCGACGGGCTGAAGAAAGTGTTTCTTTATTTTTATTATTTAATTCATACTTAATACTAAAGCCTCCAAGGCCAATTAATTGTATTAATAAAGTACTCAATACCAAGTAGAAAAATATAAAATAACTTATATTTAACTATCACACTATTAAAAATCAAGTTATAAAAGGCCCCCCAGCCAAAACTACAAAAAGAACCAATAGTAAAAAAATGAATCAATAGAGGCACAATAACCAACAACAAGCTATTAAAAAAAATTTAAGAAAGGTGAACAATAAAGGCGGCAATAAAAAATTAAACCATTAAAAAAGCTCAAAACAACGAAAATAAAACTAATTGGGATAAATACCAGGATACAGGACATGATTCAATACATTCAAATACATAAAAATTGCTCAAAAGAAACTCCTAGGAAATCTATAACAAAATTTGAGATGTGATCACGTTTCTTCAAAGCATGCTCAAATCTCACGATAGCATTAACTCTTAAACAAATACAATTTATCGTACCAGATACCAGCTTAAGCCCATAATTGATATGAGGCATTAAAAGAGCATTCGCCAACCTCTTTTTAACCCATAATGGTAAAAATAAATTAGTACCATATAATCTACGAAACTCTTCTCTGAACAGAATCGTTTTTGTTATTGTAATTCTCTTGTATTTATTGTAATTGATGATTTTATCTATAAATTGATTTGTTTTTTTTTTCAGTTGGAGCTATGTACGAACAATTGAAAGGCCCGCCGAAATTCATCACTCACCCATAACATTATTGGTTATAAGTCATACATTAGGCGACATCGTCACTGTTCACTCACTGACACAACCATCACATCAACAACAAAATCCAATTTCTGTAGACACATCAACACCACACACTTCCATGGCATTCATATCCCCACCCGTTCCGTCAACACAGCCATTAGCCGATGAATGTTTTGAAGTTACAGAAGAAAATCTTGATGATTTTGTAAATGTTTGCATCAATCCAAATGGAAAATCGATATTACGTTTGCATTCAGTGAATGCTCGATATATACAGCACTTCGTACATGAGGATCGTATAACGGCGGTTTGTTATTCATACATAAAGGAGGGAGTTGGTGTAAATGTCATTGCAACTGCGGTAGAAGGTGGTATTGTCCGCTTATGGTCCAGCTGGAATTTAAGTTTTATTACGGAAATCGTAACCGGAATATCGAATATAAGAAGGTACGGAAAAATAAAATAAATGTATGCATAAAATACGAGGTTTTCTTCCTCTTCTTTGCAGCCTTACATATTCAACACATCAGCATTTGGTTGTTTTAACTGAAAACTCCCACATACAGGTATGGGAAACTATAGGACTGTGTGGCAATTGTCCGAAATTTCCACAAATAGCATATAAATAACTTTAGAAAAGCACTTTAACATGACAGTAACATGAATTATATCCTTAGTTAAGTTTATAAAAGAGAATAAATAAGTAATAAAAAAGCAATGGCTACAAAAACAAAGAATGTCAAGAAAAATATCTTTTTTTGGCCCAAAATTTAAATTATATAGCCAATATTTTTTTGATTTGTTTAATATTATCATAAAAACTATTGGGGCTAACATTGTGGCTTTGATTACATTTTCAATGTTCACACTACGGCAAACGAAATATGAATAATAGAAAATGTTAAAGTGGCAACAAAATTGTCTTTGAATTTAAATTTTCCCATATAATCCAAATTAACCAAGTGAGACGAACTTTAATTTTACAGCAAATGCAAAGAGTAACATTAAATGGATTGCGAATTTTATCGCTAACGTGTTATCCAATAAACACTAATGTTTAAGATGAACAAAAAAACATATTAAATTAGGGAAGCTTTACTTTATCCAACTTATAAAGCATTTTTTTCAGGTTTAAGGTAAAAATTAACTCTGGTTATTGTAGTGGTTTGTGACATAATCAATTTATTTTATACAATTATTTTTCTAACACTTTATACATTTACTCTAAAAATAAAAAACATCGTCATAATATATGAATAAAAAAACTTTTAAAATAAAAAATATTTATGACTTCCACGGCGGCTGGCGGGACTGGCAGTAACGTTTTGCATTCTTGTCCAATTTTTCTTTCGATTGTTTAGTTTTGGATGTTAATGATAAAATTTCATTCAGTTTGTCAAAATCGCTTGGAGATTTCGAAAGCAGCTGGAATATAAAACAAATACTGAAATTAAATGGAAATATATTTTTTGAAAAACAACTTTGTTACCAATTCAATGTAAGCTTGCAGTTTATCCACAGGCGGAGATGTATTCTTTGGAAGATTAAGATTATTTTCCTTTTTACTAGTTTTCGGTGTTTCATAGTGATTCTGGTGATTTTGTTGTTGTAACAATGCATTGTTATGTGTTTCATTGCCATCAGGTGACTCATTATCCGTTGTCTCGAGTTGAGTTAATCGTGTTAGATTCGGCGATGTCAATATTTCCAATGCTTTTTGCCATTGAGTTTCCATTACATTGTGTAGTTTTTCAGCAATGTCAGCCCTTTTGGATTTATACAGACTCAATTTTAGTTCTAGATCTTCAACCTCTTCCTTTTGTTTTTCTTGCAATAGTTTTAACTCTAATTCATTTTTCTCATTTATCAATTCGAACTGTTTGACAGCACGTTCCGCTATCAATCGTTCACGCTCTCGCGCTTCTGTTCTCAGATTTTCTTCAGTTCTATCTAGTTGTTCCTGAAACTCTTTCAGCTTCTGTGAAACTACATTTTCCAGTTGTTGTTGATAATGACACTTAAGGGACTTTTGTTGTACGTCTAATTTTTTCCTAAGAGTGCACTATGGTATAAAAATTAAACAAAATGTTAATATAGGAAAAACGCTTTTGCCTACCTCGTTTTCAGTTAAATGAGCTAACGATTCTTGTAGTGATTTCCTTTGGTTTTCCAATTATCAGCTCTTGACTTTTGTTTTTGGTGATATTCATGCAACATTCTTTCTGATGTCTCAATGTAGAATTCTCCTTTTCAAGTTCTTCACACTTTAGTTTAATCTGAAACATTTTAAAAATGTTATTGGTTGTAGCAGTGGTTTACTCGGATTTTTATCTTTAAATACTTTTTCATATAAATGTTCGGACTTGGCATATTTGTCTCTCAACTTTTGTAACTCATTAAGGGACATTTCTTCAGATCTCTTACATGCATGAACTTGTATTTCTAACTCCTCCATTTTCTGTTTGTAGTGAGTGGACGACTCATTCGATTTCTGAAAAAACGCATTCGGATTTGATTTACTTCAATAGTCATGATTCGAATTTGAATATACCTTGTGTAGTTGGTTAGCTCCATCTCCATTCTCTCATTTTTCTCCTGAAATTTTGTTGCCAAACTAACAGCTTGTGCAAGTTCTTTTTGTAGGGCTTCCATCTTTTCGTCATATTGCTTACGTTGCTGTTCATAAGACTGCAGATTTTGCTGTATTTGTTGCAGCTCTTGTGAGAGACTGAAATAGAAATTTTTATAATAGATATATTTATGTACATTTGTTTTCTGTTCCCAAGTAGGCGAGTATACGGCATCACCAACTTACAAATTCTTATTTAATTGTATACATTAAGATACGTTGGATTATTAATAGTAGTGTTATCCAATACCTTTTATTTTCCATTTGTACATTATTCAGAGCATTATCTTTTGTTCGATCAACTTCAATGGCAACCGATAACCTTTGCTGATATTCTAATAATCGCGATTGCAACTGTCTCACTGTCTTCTCCAAATGCTGCCTCCTCAGCTGCTCCTCCTTTAAATTCGACTGCGATGATGTTGCTATAGCTGTGGATTGGCCACTTTTCCCCCAAATTTCACTTAGGCTTATAAGGTTGTTTTCGGTTTTTGACATATGATTGTCGGACGTTTGAACTTTGTCTGCTGATCCTGTATGAATAGATGTCCGCATGTTATTCCCATGTGACTGATATTGGTATTCCATATTTGGCAGCCGTTGTTGTACTTTAGCACTATATTCATCACTGTGTCTTTGTTGCCAGTAATCACCGCTATTTGCGGAAACCCGATCATTTGACAGGAAATTATCAATTTCTAACAATACACCATCATCCTTGCACTCCTGTACAATATTTGATTTCTTAGAAGCAATAGGTTGTTTGAAAGAAGTGTCCATACATTTAGGAGTTGAGTGAACCATTCCCACTTGTTCTCTATTGTGTTTAGAAGGGCCAAACTGTGTTTTTATCGTGTTTGCTGATATGCTCGAAATATCTGAGGGGTTGTCTATATAAGCCATTTCTTCTCGCTCTAAATAATGCAATTTTGTATTTATATTATTCAGTTCAGCTTTTCGACTGGGCGCCAGAAATTGATAAGCGTTTGAAGTCGGTGGTGGCGGCACGGATAAAGACTCCTCTTCTTTACTATTTTCCAAATCCATTGCTTGAAAATTACTCGTCAGGTCTCTGGCAATTTTTAGTCGTCTTTTATTTTCTTGTATGCTTTGAGTTGCTTTCTTTTCAAAGATTCTAAATCTTCTGCTATTAGTTTTTCCTCTGCATTAGCAAGATAGTAATCGGGTGGTATCAACAATAAAATATCGGTATCATCAGAATCACTCATTACAGCTCCTTAATTAATCTGTATGCAGTTTTGCATTACTTTGTTTTGCATTATAACTAATTATTTTTTAAAATAAAATAGTACATTTTCAAATCCAAACGCGCACATCTGCTTGCAAGCTACAATTATAAACAAGTGATTGAGTACAAGAACAGTTAGTCGGTAACAGAAATGATAATCGGTATTTTATATAATTTAAAGTAACCGTTCGGGCAACTTTTACCAAGTTTATACGGTGGTAGTTTAACTTTCAATGCATTTAAAAAAGACGGTAATGGACTTCTTTTATTGAATGTCAGAATGCAAAAATTTGTCTTTGTGACGTTGCCGTCCCGGCAATTACGAAGCCATTATCAATTATATAATTGAAAAGCGTATAATTTCTTTCTTTTTTATTCCTTGCTCGTTTGTTCATCCAGTTTCATTGTTTTCAAAACAATAAATAAACTCAAAACAATGAACTGTTAAACCAATTTTGGAATTGAAAATGTTGAATGAAAAATTATTTAAATTTGTAAAAATTGTTGAAAAACGCGAATTATAATAGCCTTCGAATGACGTAGTTTAAGAAAACATATAAAAATCCACTTATATTTGAAAAAAACATTTAAATTTTTTTTTTGACATATCAATGCTCCCAGGCGTTGATGCATCTACCTGTATTCTTCTGCCATGCATGTACTAGAGTCTTAAATGCTGTTCACACATTGCGCATACATAAGTCAAATGAAATTCCCTGGATGTGAGTCGATTTTTTTTAACTTAAGTGATTACTTAAGAGACGTGGAGACTTTGGCTCGTGTTTCCAAGGCACCGCCAATACATGGAAAAGATCCGAGACCTTAATGAATCCGATTTTTTAGTTTATTCCAAAAACAATTTTATCAATTGTAACCGCCAATTTGTTTATTTAGAAATACGCCAAGCGGCTCTGAAAGAGAATCGATTTTATTTGATGCATACGAAATTGAATTGACGGTTGTAATCCATTCGATTTGTCAAAATGTCAAATATCAAATATGCTCAGTTCCATGGTACAATGAATTCAAGGTAGGGCACATGGTACAATGAAGAGAAGGTAGGCTAACTTTGACATATTGCAAGTATAGAGGTCTACCTGTTTGGCTTGTAATGTCAGAATCACTATCAAAACAATAAAAAAACAAAAAACTTGTTGCATTGATTTGAATAAATAATTTAAAACCGCGAAAACTGAATGAAAGGTCAAAATTCTTTTCAAAATCATGTTCTATATATCTCTTATAGTTTATTTCGCGACAAAAACTGAAGACTTTGTCGATGCATACGTTGCAATAAGCATTGCGAAAACACCAGAATTTGAATATTTTCTGAACATTTTTTTATTATTGAAAAGAATACGCACACATAAACAAATGAAGTTGACATATTAAGCCAGAAAAATAAAAAATTGAAATCATATGATAGTTCTGCCCTACCTTGAATTCATTGTACCATGGTAGGGCAGAACTACCATATGATTTAAATTTTTTTATTTTTCTGGCTTAATATGTCAACTTCATTTGCTTATGTGTGTCTTCTTTTCAATAATAAAAAAATGTTCAGAAAATATTCAAATTCGGGTGTTTTCAAAATGCTTATTTCAACGAATGCATCGACAAAATCTACAGTTTTTGTCGCGAAATAAACCATAAGAGATATATAGAACATGATTTTGAAAAGAAATTTTGACCTTTCATTCAGTTTTCGCGGTTTTAAATTATTTATTCAAAATCAATGCAACAAGTTGTTTGCTTTTTTATTGTTTTGATAGTAATTTTGACATTACAAGCCAAACAGGTAGACCTCTATAGATGCAATTTTTTCAAAGTTAGCCTACCTTGTATTCATTGTACCATGCTCAGTTCTATCATGATTATACCGTGCGTTGTTCAATATATGTCCGAAAGGTTTGATGCTAAAATGTTGTTCAATCACTGGTGCAAAAAATTTGGCATAGCTCATTTAGTATTTAACGAAGAATTCACAGGAATACAAGTGGCTGAAGCTCGAAAAAACGAATGAAGTAGACCTGTTGCAACATTTTATTATATTTTATACATGAAATTAACATGGTAAAAACTTTGTTGTCATTTTCGTCCTATGGGTTCTGTTTACGGCTTTTTAAAGATTTGGTCCAGCAAGCTACACTTGAGCTCGTGTCAAAAGTCTTAAATATTTTTCCTTGACATAAGCTTTAAATTGGTAACGGTCGATTTTAAATGTTTTTAAAGTGCTGGTCATACTTTCCAGGATTGGGAGTAGAAAATGTCTACATAATAATTCTTAGGGAGGATTAAGATTGTAGACAATTTTTAACAAAACAGATCAACTATTTAAAATCGACTTAAGTTTTCACATGGTAGAGGGTGTATAAAGTTTGACGCGGATGAACTTAAGATTGCAATTTTTCCTTTATATATTAAAACAATTTTGCAAGCTTTTTCGTACGAAAACACACTAGAATTTTATTTAGATACTTAAAATACCACACTATACCTGTTTTGGACAGTGTCTACCAGGAGAACGGATACATTCACAAAGACTGCATTTTGTTACAAATAAAAAATAAAAATGAAATATTTGAATTTAATTTATAAGCATAATTTAATGTTTTTTCCTCCATTTTATTCTCATTTTGTGAACTATCGATCACAAGCACACATCAGTAATAAAATGAACTACCTATATTCGTATTATAATTACAGGTAAGGGCAATAAATGAATGATCTTTTATCATTTAATCCCATTGTGAGTAACCAAACATAATAGCATGCGTTGTCCGTTGGTGACCAATGACATCAATTGTTATTCGGCCGAGGCTTTAATATAAGTTTTCCTGTATCGTCACAGCTCATATTAAAATCACCAAGCACACTTCGCATACGTGAAGTTATAATTTGTGGAGCGATGACCAGTTTATGTATTCCAAAAACAAATAACACCACTATATAAAGACAGGTTAAACATAATGAATAATTAAAATAACATTCCTTGAACTATACATACGTAAGGTTAACGTTGCAAAAGTAAATACTGGATGAATAAGAAGTGATTCTGTAAGAGGAACGACTGAAGTTCTTGGATCTCGCAACCAATACCAAGCACCAATCGCAGTGCATAATGATATTACGGCTAAAACAACTGCAGTGACAGAAGAAGATTGTAATTAACATTTTAACAAAACAATTGCTTCACTTACTTCGCCAACGAACAGTTGATGGACGGTAGGAGGACACAACTTCCGTGAGTCGCCTTTCGAATGCTTTCAAATCTTAAAAGGAAATGAAATGTTTTATTGCATGTATAAACCAAAGTTCATATTCACCCGTACTAACCTTCGCAGGCTGAAGGTTCCATATTTACGGTGTTGTTATCGAGTTTTATGTTGCTTACGTATTGTTGATTAAAGAGTACTGTCACAGGATGTTTTCCTTTCAATTATTTTGCATTCCGCTTTGTAAAATTTTATATGTCTCTTATGTTATTGTTTGATGTTTTCATTTATTTTGGATTTTGACGGCGTCGGACTCATATTTCTGGGACACGACAGAGTGTTGCCAATATTAGTGATTTTCTGACACTTTTGTTGACAACAACATTTAGGGTAGCCTAGTTCAAATTCGGCCATAATTTAATTTGTCTTTTTTGGTAACATGGTACAATAATAAGATATTGCAAGCTATCGGACATGATATAAATAAATTGGTAGTCATGTAATCATATATTCATATTCTTTTTTCAAAATTATCTATTTGACAACATCTCATTGTCAAAATGTATATCTATAAATGCATTGTATATACAAAAATTAGAGATGGGAGCATGCTTCCTATGTAATAAAAATTGGACAAGATAATGTTTATTGTGTGAAAATATATTAAATTTGGGGCAAAAATCATCCATTAAGTATTATCATTTTTTAGAAAATACAATATAATCACAGTGTAACCAAAAGTAATAAACATACGCAAGTGTGTGAAAACAAGAATTACGAGTCATACGTAAAATGGCAATTTTGACATACACACGGATAATAAAAGTGACAGCACATATGTAAAACCCATATCAACTGATATCAGCTTTAAACAATAAAAATAAAATTTGCCGCAAAAATTCATTGATAAAATAATAATATAATAAAATAAAAATATTTGTTATAGAATGTAAAATAGACAAAGGAAATACAAATTCATATTTTAGCATTTGATAGCAATAAGTATGAGTCGAAGGTAAAATGACAGTTTTGACATAAATACAGAAATGTTTGAAAAAAAAAAATTAGGGCAAAATATTTCAATACCTATGATTTAAGGTGAGAGTACATAACCAGCTTGAAGTCTTCGCATGACATATTTTGTGATATATCATAAAAGGTTGCCAGAGCCGCACATAAATTCTTTCGGTTTTATCGTTTTCCTTTATAATTTGACATTAAAATGCCCATCCAAGATGCCAAACTGCGTATGTACGCTTTATATAGCATATATCATGGTAGAATGAATTAGGTAATGTCATGCAATGATATGTTTACAATTTTTTCAAAATCATTCATTTGACAACGTCTTATTGTCAAAATGTATACTTGTAAATCCATTATACATACACAAATCATGGGAACCTGTTTTATATGCAGTGAAATTTGAAAAGGTAAATTACAGAAAATGCAGAGATGGATATACTTATTTGATATGACGTTTCCTTCTTAATTTCACGTTAGTGCAATTTAGAAAAATTTTCCCGATAATAGAAAAAGCATTGTTATATTTTATAAAACAACGCCAACATCAATGGTGGTGAAACTTTTTTTTGGTATAGGTATAGTTGAAAATGTCTATTCTAATAAATGCATTATAAATCGCCATATTTGCCGAAATTAATTGGAATTCTTTTAAAAAATATGATCCAAACCGTTAAATATTGGTAAAACGCAATTTACGTGCGGTTGAAAGATTTAGAAGATTTTCCAAACGAATTTTAGTTTTATGCCATGGTAGAAGAATATAGGTAGACGCATCGACACAGCTGCTGAGACAATGAACTGTCAAACCAAAGTTGGAATTGAAAATGTGGAATGAAAAATTATTTAAATTTATAAAAATTGTTGAAACACGTGTATTATAATATCCTCCGAATGACGTCGTATAAGAAAACATATAGAAATCTACTTATATTTGAAAAAAATTAAAATTTTTCGACATATCAATGTTCCCATCTACCTGTATTTTTCTACCATGGTACAATGAATTCAAGGTAGGGCAGAACTACCATATGATTTAAATTTTTTTATTTTTCTGGCTTAATATGTCAACTTCATTTGCTTATGTGTGTGTCTTCTTTTCATAATAAAAAATTGTTCAGAAAATATTCAAATTCGGGTGTTTTCAAAATGCTTATTGCAACGAATGCATCGACAAAATCTACAGTTTTTGTCGCGAAATAAACCATAAGAGATATATAGAACATGATATTGAAAAGAAATTTTGACCATTCATTCAGTTTTCGCGGTTTTAAATTATTTATTCAAAATCAATGCAACAAGTTGTTTGCTTTTTTATTGTTTTGATAGTAATTCTGACATTACAAGCCAAACAGGTAGACCCTATACTTGCAATTTTTTCAAAGTTGACCTACCTTCTCTTCATTGTACCATGTTTTCTACCATGTTTTATGCAGTTCTTTGGTTCCTCTTCTACAGTGGTTTCTATTTACCTGCATCAACATTAGCTGCGCATTAGCCTTTGCAGACCAAAAAACCTTTTTTATGCCATTTTTTTCTGAATCCCTTTATTTGAATTGTATTTAAGTGCCCAATCGTTAGCTGCACATTGGACATTCCTGCCTCGAAAATTTGGTAATTTTTTTCTTTAATTTGGTTACAAAAGTTGTATTTATCTGCACAAGAAAATTTTTTGAAAACTCAAAAAAGACAATAAAAACTACCACTTCGTTTTTGTTTTTGTATTCGCAGAAACAATAACAACACAAGAAAAGAGCATGCATTAAAAACATATTCTCGCTTCCTCTCCCACACTAAAAGATGGTTATTCTGCTGCTGCTTTGTTGTGCACGAATAGAAAATTAAAGATAACTGCACTTTTTGTGCACGTAAGTAAAATTAAAGATACCTGCTTCATTGTGCAGATAAATGCAATGAAGCTACCTGCATTTTGGGCATTGCTGTACAAGATGTCGTGCAATTTTTGATTGTGCAGGTAAGCAAAAAATACTGTATTAAGCTTACGATCTTGTCACTTGGGCAAAAAGGTTTTTTTGTCATAGAAGTTATTTTTAAAATAACTTCTGGGGAGAATATCCCAGACAAAAAACAATGGAACTTATGACGACTGGTGGATCTTTCCGAAACCTAGTCATTCCTTGCCTTACCCCCTGGTAAACATTACCATCGTTCTCCACTAATAAACCAACGTTGCTTTTATAAAAACAACAATAAAGGGATTAAGTCTCACCATTTTGCAACAACAAAAAACTATGGTATCCCGAGAAACAAGCCAACACTGTTCTTTGCTTTTTTATCAAACAATAAATACCAACACGAATTGGCACAATACCGTATTCATAATACAATTAAATTATTTTTCATCACAAAAGGAAAAAATATATTCTCCGGAAAAGCTGGCATGGCACAATTACCGAAGGTAGAACAAAGCCACCCCCTATATACAATTTTTTTTCTTTTGGTGCCCATATTCTTTCAAAACATATACCCATTTTGTGTATGTGTGTTTATTGTTTTGAATAAATTTTGAATTTATTTCAAATTCTGAATTTATTTCAAATTAAAGCATATTTTCGACGTTAATGGGCACTTCATTGTACAATTTTAAAATAAATCTGTATTGTCCTACTATATTAGATTCAATCTTGTGGAAAATCCCAAAATTTTCATTCTTGTTTCACGGGTTTTTCCCAATATAAGAATTTGGTTATAAAAATAAAATAAACAAAACCAACTGCTGCATATTTAAATGTCTATTTGACACTATAAGACTCCAGCACAGAGTTGAAATTTTCTAGTTTCTTTAAAGTTGAGCAACCTTTCTTAATGAACCGTGACTGCATGGTACAATGATATCAAGGTAGGGCTATGATACCATATGATTTCAATTTTTTTATTTTCTTGGCTTAATATGTCATCTTTTTTTGTTTATGTATGTGTTTTCTTTTCAATAACAAAAAAATTGTTCAGAAAACATTCAAATTCGGGTGTTTTCAAAATGTTCATTTCAACGCATGCATCGACAAAATCTAGAGTTTTTGTAGCGAAATAATCCTTTAGAGATATATAGTACATGATTTTGAAATGAAATGTAGACCTTTCAATCAGTTATCGCGGTTTTCAATTATTTATTCAAAATAAATGCAACAAGTTGTTTGATTTTTTATTGTTTTGATAATAATTCTGACATTACAAGCCAAACAGGTAGACCTCTATACTTGCAATTTTTTCAAAGTTGACCTACCTTCTCTTCATTGTACCATGCGTGACTGTAAGAATGAATTCAAATTTCAATAGAATTTGAACATTTTCCAAAGGTTTTTGTTTATTGTTCAAACAAACATACAAGAACTTCGTAAATATTTTGGCATTACAAAGCTAACATAAAAAATTGAGTTCAGATGATTTCCTTGGCCTGCCTTGCAATTACAGCAGTTATTGCAAAACCTGCACAACCAGAAAAGTAGGAAACATCAAACTCGTATTGTATTAATTAGACCTTTAAATCATTCAAAAACATTTGTTTTTATACACCTTTTCTACTTAGACAGTATTGTACTGACCTACAAAAAAATTACCAAAATATGCATGGCAAAATGAGGAAAAATATTAAATAAATGAAAACAAATTGTTGCATGGAAATTTGACAGGAAGCGGTTGTAACATCTGAAATTTTACGAAGCTGTTCTACCTCCTTATTGCACCATGGCATTTCTTAGCACGCATTTATTTAGGCAAGGGCAGGTATGGAACTTTACCATCTGTTTTATTTTCTGCCGCCACTATTTCATATAGCTTGCTGTAATAAAATTGTATATCTTGGCAACTCTGTATTCTGTATTTGTTGGCGCCGTTGGTGCGTGTATTTTTGCAAAAGTTTTCTGTTTTTGACAATATTTGCATTTTTTCATCCAATAAAGTTATATTAAATTCCTTAAGAAATTATGACAAATAATCTGAAAGTACCGTTGGAATGGAAGAGACGTGTTAAAAAGGAATATATGAAAATTCGACAGCAGAAAAGATACAAAAGGGCGGATGAAATAAAGGAAGCATGGATAAAGAATTGGTTTGTGGTCTTATAAATTGCAGTTTATAATTGGTTCTAAATTCATATTTTTGCAGGGACGAACACAATTACAATGTTCAAGATCTGTATTGTGAGCCGAAGGTTTGGCAGGCCCAACCATATGATCCACCGCATGTGGACTGCGTCAAAAGAGCAGAAGTGACAATTTATAACGGAGGTGGTACCCAACAAGTGCCAATATGTGTAATAAATGCTGTCACGCCTATTCCAACAATGTACACATGGGCCCCCACACAGCAAAATTTCATGGTTGAAGATGAAACCGTCCTCCACAATATTCCCTATATGGGTGATGAAGTACTCGATAAGGATGGTAAATTTATTGAGGAATTGATAAAGAATTATGATGGCAAGGTACATGGCGATAAAGATCCCTCATTTATGGACGATTCAATATTTGTGGAGCTAGTGCACGCGTTAATGAGAACATATCCAAAAGAAATTGAAGAAATTACTGGCGCTCCCTTGAAAATTGAAGTAATAAAAAATGATGAGATAAAGGATATGCAGAAAAACGAGGATAAGGATGCAAGTACTAGCGAAAAAGAAAAAAATGAAAAGCAAATAGATTCTGAAAATGATGTCAAAGATGCAAAAATTCTTGAAGAAGGTGAAAAAATCATAGCCGAGAAGAATAGCAATGATGAAAAAGACATTGCATCTGGCGAAAGTACAGAAAGACGACTACAGATAATCTTACAGAGAAACTTCCTTTCCCTCCTCCGATAATATTTCAAGCCATTAGCTCAAATTTTCCCGACAAAGGAACATCGCAGGAACTCAAAGAAAAGTAAGTTAAAAGAAAAGAATTTAATTCTAAAGATTTATCACATTTTAAGTAATATGAAAGAGAAATCTGGTTGCTATGACAAATTTAAATCATTCGTGACGAATCCGATGAGTTATCACGAAATGCTGCGCTGAAGAAAGGGATATATAAACATTTGTTGAATAGTTAATTCCATAAGCTTTCATATGATACCCATATTTTATATATCGGTTTGCTAAACATAGTCTATACTCTCGTCTTTCCAAAATGGCATTTTAGCATTTCCAACGATTATTTTGTACAATATATGCGGTTTTTTAATTAAAAAATCTATTCTACGCTTCATAGATACATTGAGTTGACAGAACACCAAGATCCAGAGCGGCCGCAGGAATGTACACCAAATATTGATGGTGAAAAGGCAGAAAGTGTTTCACGTGAAAGAACACTTCATTCTTTCCATACATTGTTCTGTAGGCGTTGCTTCAAATATGATTGTTTTTTACATCGTAAGTATAATTTAATTACAGAAATTGTATATGAGATATGCATTCAATAAAATACTTTCTATTTTTATCCTTTTTATATTTTGATTTTCGTTTTTTTTTTAATATAAATACATAAAATGCTGTTGAAAACTGAGTTTAACAATTGTTTATGTAAAAAATAAAATATTTACTTCAAATTCAGGTCATCCAACTCACGGTGAGTTGTAGCTGTTGTTGTATGTTTTTTAATTGTATATTTCTTTGCTACACTTCATTGATCAGTCATACTTCCATTAAATTTCATTCAATGTATATCATTTTACGCTAAAAAAAACATTAACAACAGAAAAATGTGAAAGTGAGAAGCATCATCCTCAACTAAGTCTTAGTCGAAAATTAAATATTCATAGCAGCATTTTTAATTTTAGTCGCTATTACATGCATAATTAAAATTGTTTTCCAAATTAAAATACTACTTTCTAAAAGATTCTTATGCAGTGTTTAATTGTTATTGGAGTCATGTGTATGTGTTACAGTTTGTTTTGGTTTTATAAAATCCATACATCTTAACACTCATTAACTATATCTCGAACATTGATATGTAGGGCGATTCCTTATCATTACCAATCAGTAATCGGACAATCAACAGTAACAAAATCAATAGCATATTCAACAAGTCACCCAGTTATTATATTTAAACCTTGAAAACATATTATTAATTGCAACAAAATGTAATTTCATCTTAGGTTTTCAAGTAGGACATTCTGGACCAAATTTGCAAAAACGACGTTTTCCTGAAATGAAACCATTTACTGAGCCATGCAGCAACAATTGTTATATGCTCTTGGTATGTAGTGCTAAAAACAACAATTTCCACATAATAGTTTGTTATGATTCAGCCGTTTTCCACTTCATTTATAGGAAGGAATGAAAGAGAAACTCGCAGCTGACAACAAAACACCGCCAATTGATTCTTGCAACGAAGCAAGTTCGGAAGATAGTAATGATAGCAACAGCCAGTTCAGTAATAAGGAGTTTAACAATGACCAAACTAAAGAAAATGGGACTGTAACAAGTGCAGCTTCTGCAGAAATAAATTCTATAATGGGTAGGCTATTCAATTACCGGTGTGGTATTGAAAGTTCCATTTGAACAATACAGTATTTAACTAACTTTACTGGCTCTTTTAGCGGGAATGATGAATACCTCGAATGTCAAATGTGACTGGACTGGAGCGGATCAATCGCTATTTCGGACTTTACACAAAGTATTTCTAAAAAATTATTGTGCTATTGCCCAGATAATGTTGACCAAGACATGTGAACAGGTTTGTTATTAAGTTGTTTGTAACCTATCATTTCTTCTAATACAATTGCTTAAAAGGTGTATGAATTCGCACAAAAAGAGGCCTCTGAATTTAGCATCGAAGAACTTCGGCAAGATTATACTCCACCTCGTAAGAAGAAGAAGAAGCAAAGGTTGTGGTCATTGCACTGTCGTAAAATACAACTTAAAAAGGATTCCTCTTCAAATCATGTCTATAATTATACACCTTGTGACCATCCCGGTCCTTGTGACATGAATTGTTCATGCATACAGACTCAAAACTTTTGCGAAAAATTCTGTAATTGCAGCAGCGATTGCCAAAATCGTTTTCCAGGTTGTCGCTGTAAGGCACAATGTAATACCAAACAATGTCCATGTTATTTGGCTGTACGTGAATGTGACCCGGATCTTTGTCAGGCATGTGGTGCAGATCAATTTAAGCTTACAAAAATTACTTGCAAAAATGTTTGCGTTCAGAGGGGCCTACGTAAATACATTGAATCTTATTATTTTTATAATAGAATTTATAGGTTTATGTTTTTATAGATAAACATTTACTCATGGCACCCTCAGACGTCGCCGGTTGGGGTATTTTCCTAAAGGAAGGAGCCCAGAAGAATGAATTTATTTCGGAATATTGCGGTGAAATAATATCACAGGATGAGGCCGATCGACGAGGAAAAGTTTATGACAAATATATGTGTTCATTCTTGTTTAATTTAAACAATGATTTTGTCGTTGATGCTACGCGCAAAGGCAATAAAATACGTTTTGCGAACCATTCCATCAATCCTAATTGCTATGCCAAGGTAATGATGGTGACCGGCGATCATCGAATAGGCATTTTTGCTAAACGAGCCATACAGCCTGGAGAGGAGCTGTTCTTTGATTATAGATATGGACCTACCGAACAATTAAAATTCGTAGGTATTGAACGTGAAATGGAAATTGTTTAAATATTTGATTGGAAATTTGTTTTATATTTTATTAAACATTTCTGAAAATAATTTCATAAAAATAAATATGGATTAATCGTACATCTAAACACTCTTTGCTACATTTGCTATAATGGGTTTTGGCCTGGATTTGAATGTTAACTTTTTGGTGACAATAGCCTGTACTGTGTATTCTGTTCGATGCTTGGTTTTATTCTCGAGAGCAACTGTATTGTCCAATAATGTTCGATCAACAGTACTATTCATGACACTTGTGTTTAGATAGTTTATTGTTTGATCTATAATATGTTGACCCTCGTTGGTTTTTGATTTCTCCAGGACGGCGAACGGCTTCTCCAGTTTTTGTTCTCTTCCCTGCAATATATGATGTCCTATAATGAGAATCTGTCCAAATATAACGATTAAAGAAATATTTCAAAACTATATTTTTTTACATACCGGTTGTCCATACTTGTTGTAATAAAGGTCACCCACAAATTGATCATGCATTTCCTCATTGGTCCTTACTTCTAAGTCACCCTGCAATTCCAAAACTGCCCATTCTTTTAGCCCGCTAGATGTTTTTCTAAATATAAAAAAAAATGTACAAACAGGTAGTTGAAGGAACTAAATTTTGGAAAATATATATTTGTTTCGTTGTTTAACACTTGTTTACATCGGTATGTTTTAAAAATGAAACATTCGATTTGAAATAAGTTTAATATTATTTAATGTGTTTATTTGAAAATATGAAAGTATAGAAATAATTAAGCATTGCATGCATTAACAGTGTTTTTGTAACGCGTACTCGGCCGGATTTAGACACCACGAAACTTCTTGAACAATGGGTGAATATTTCCTGAGTTTTTCTTGCGATGTTCATAGTAAACTGCATCATCACCACCTGACATTGAACTGAGACCACCTGCCCGTTTTGTACTTGAAGAACTATTCGGTCTGTATCCCGGTTCTCCGGGGATTTTCTCATCTTCACAGTCTAAATCTGAAGCTGATAATACCTGCTGTAGCAACTGGGCCTGTTCTTCCCGATTTTTATAAAACAAGTCAGGATCAGAATCCATTCCACTGAGATGTGTAATTACTTTATAGCTGTAACCTTGATTAACTAAGAAACGCTGACGTTTGCGGGAATAACTCATTTCCATTGTGTCTTGTGACACTAAGGTGTAGAAGAAGGCGTTATACTCTTCCGCAATAGCTCCTTTCTTAGCACGCAGAATACGACCCAGACGCTGTGCTTCTTGACGACGCGAACCGCCGTGAGATGAAATTTGTATCAATACATTTGCTTCTGGCAAATCAAAACTAGTATCAGCAACTTTGGACACAAAAATTGTGTTGACCTTTTGGTTGAACTTGAAGTTTTGCAAAATTTGTATACGTTCGTTTTGGGACGTCGGACCGTAAATAAAAGGTTTGTTCATTTTGATGGCGTAGTGTTTTAGCGCAAATACATTATCCGAGAAAACAATTGTTTTATCTCCTCGAAGCTCGTGGTATTTTATCAGGAATTGACAGCTTCGAAATTTAGAGGGATTCATAACATACAATAGCATTTTTTTGGAAGTTTTGGCTGTTAGATATTCTCGGTAGAACTCGGGAGACATGGGACACCAAACTTCTGCACATTGTACGCGGGCAATATAACCTTTCTTTTGTAATTCCAACCAATTTGCTTCATACAATTTAGGACCAATCAGAAAATTCAGATCAGCAATCTTGTCGTCTTCACGCAAAAGTGTGGCAGTAAGACCCAGTTTGCAATGAGATTGAACAATTGTTAATACTCTTCGAAACATTTTTGCAGGTATAGTATGTACTTCATCCAAAACCATAATGCCCCATTCTTGTTCTTGTAGCCAACGCATTGTTTGTTCCGCTTCCCATGATCGTTTCTGGGTGTGAGTTATCATAGAATAAGTCGTGACCAGAATGCCACAACCCATTGGTTTATCTTTGGCTTCTGAAGTAAACCGACAAATCATACTGTCATCCGCTGTTGACCACATCTTAAACTGTTGTTTCCACTGCTCCACAGACACACCGCTGTTACACAAAACTAAAGCACGTTTTCTGACTGTGCAGCATGCAGTCACACCAACCAATGATTTACCTGTATAAAAGGAATTCATGAATATGATTTCAAAATGTGGGACAATTATTGAAAAACTTGCCTGCACCACAAGGAAGTACAATGACACCTGACCTCGCACGTCCGTTGCCAAACATTTTTCGCAAACTTTTCTCTTGATAAGGCCTAAGAACGGCAGCAGGCTTTAAATCAATATTTATGTCTGGATTATGAGTATCGTTACGAAAATCATACTCTGCCAATAAGGGGTGTTCTATTTCAATGCATCGCTTTTGAATTACTTCAATTTTTTCCTGGCTCACCTCAAACGAAACTGTATTTAAATTCGCTTCGTCTTCATCTTCTTCTTCGTTGTCAATTTTGTCGTAGAAATTTGTAATGTCATCCGGCACAGCAGTAGTACCGTCTGCATTTATTGTTGCGGGAGCACTCTGCACTGTTTTTGGGTCGGTTTTAGCGGCATTTTCAGGAATTTTTGTACCGAACTGCGTAATTGCCTGTTTTTCTAATGTACCTTGTATAAATGCCTCCCCCTCTTCTCGTTTAAGACGGCATTGTTGGATGACTGGATCTTTAAGCAATTTTTGTAATATATCCGGATGGGGAGATTCTATAAAGTAACGGTTGTGCTTCAAGACCAACTTAACTTTACCATATGACAATGTACACAGCTTTATGAATTCTACTATTCCCTCAGGTATAGTAGTTTTACTCAGTCTCTTTAAATACTCAACAATATCATGGGTTTGTAACCCAACGGAGACAGCCGCATACAAACTGTAAGCAGTGAGTTTGTATTCATGAATATGTTCTGGACGACACACAGGTTCCGATATGGCAATAAGAAAATCATGTGCATGCTTGTACACCGGTGAAAATGATTCCAAAAATATATGTCCATTCGGAGCTACCCACAAAGGCCGATTTGAGTGATCAATTTTCAATTCCATTTGGGCGCGATAATCTTTGGCTCCATATTCATCGGTCATTATACCATCATCATTGGTTTCGGCATTTTTTGAAGCCGCTCCTGGAACACCATCACTTTCGCTAAAATCCATGGAATCATTATCCTCTACCAATTGGGTATAGGCATCATCTTCTGCCCTACGCTTTTTTCCTTAAAGAAGAAATATGTTATTCGTTTTTACGTAAATTTTAAAATCTAGTAACTTACCAAACTTTTCGGAACTAAATTTTTCTTTTTTAGATTTTTTTGGAGGACCCATTCTATCCATAAAGTTGGAATTTTAACTGTGGACCAAAATTACTACTGAAACACAGCGGAATAAAAGAGTTGCCACGTTTATGAATTTAATATCACCATATGACGAAAACAAGAAAGAGTGGGTTCACATTAAACATCTGCTACTCAAGTTGTGTATTAAAATGGTCACCCACTGCATACAAATAAGGTGGTGTTATGCACTGCAATAGCGTGTCTTCTAGGTGGTTTTGTGTCTTTCAAAACCAAAAGTAACAGCATTACCTAAAATTCGAATTACTCGTTTTTCACCACAAAAGCTAAACACATGTGTTGTACATGAATGCTACCGAAACACAATATACAATTTCACAAATATATTAGAATTTTTATATTATATGGTACTATAAAAAGGTAAGGCAGACTACCATCTGGTTACAATTTGTTTCTGAGTTTGCTCGACTTTTCCAATTTAGTGTATGTATTATTGCTTTAATATAAATAAAAACAAAACAATTCAAATCAATGACTACAACAAGCGTAAATATCTGGACGCGCACGGACAATATTAACCCGTTTTGCCTTAGAATTGAAACAGTTTGGATGTCTTTGAAAAAAAATTTGCGGCTTACCATTCATCTCTCGCCTTTTTAAATCATTTCAAAATATAGGAAAAAATGAAATGAAAATGAGAAAAACATGTTGCAATAAAAGATAAAGGCAGAGCTACTAGCTGATCACAATTTTTATTCTTAGTGCGACCGACTTCTGCCAACAAGAAAAAAACTAAATATTTTCATAACCAATGATTAGAAGAAACATATATTGAAGTGCGCGCATTAAAGGTATTAATCAGTTTAGCAATGAAAGTAGAAAATTGAACTGTTTTGATTATATTTTTAAAAAGGAAATCGAGGCATTTCTTTATTGCTTCGCGCTATTTAATTCATTTTTAAAAAAGGAGGAAAAATAAATAAAAACAACCTATTGTATATAATGATTACCTTTTGTTGTTCCAAAATGGTCAGGCTTAATCCCATTATTATGTTTTTTATAAAAACAGCGTTTGTTTATTAGTGGAGAACGATGGTAATGCCTATCAGGGGGTAAGGCAGGGAATACTTAGGTTTCGGAAAGAGCCACCAATCCTTATCAGTTCCCTTGTTTTTTGTCTGGGATTTTTGAATTTATTTTATTAATTTTAGTTTTATGTAATTGATATGATACCTCACGATACTCAGTATTATTATGATTTTAGCGACATAATTAACCGGAATTGTTTCAAATTTCGTAGTTGAAGTTCATAATGGGTACAACAACGAATAACAAAAAAGTGTCTGTGCAGGCCACGTCTTCCTATAGCCCTATACAACGGTACCTCCCAATTTTCGGTATTTTGATGATTTTAGTTACATTTTTACCGGAATTATTTCAAATATTGTTGTAGTTTGAGAGGAATTTTTCTACTATTTTTATACACTCCACCATAGTATGAAGGGCATATTAAGTTTGTCATTCCGTTTGTAACACCTCGAAATACACATTTTAGACCACACAAAGTATATATATTCTTGATCAGCATAAAATTCTATATCGACTTATCGATGTCCGTCCGTCTGTGGAAATCACTCTAGCTTCCGAACGAATTGAAGTAGATTGATAAAATTTTACTCAAATGCATGTTACATCTGCAGAACTTTTGGTATTGGAAATGGGCTATGTAGGACCACGTTTTGGTATAGCCCCCATATAACGGTACCTCCGGATATTTGGTATTTTAACGATTTTAGCGACATTTTTCACCGGAATTGCTTCAAATTGGTATTTGAAGTTCGTAATGGATACTACAGCCTAAGACAGAAAATTGTCTGCGCAGGTCCACATCTTCGTACAGCCCCCATATAACGGTACCTCCCGATATTCGGTATTTTAATGATTTTAGCGACATTTTTCGCCGGAATTGTTTCAAATTTTGCATTTGAAGTTCGTAATGGATACTACAGCCTAAGACAGAAAATTTCCTGTGCAGGTCCACATCTTCGTATAGCCCACATATAACGGTATCTCCCGATATTTGCTATTTTTATGATTTTATCTACATTAATTTTTTTAAGTTTCGCATTTCATTATTGTAATGGCTTATGACAAATGTTATCTATGTGTATTTATATATATATATATATATATATATACGTATATATATATTTATATGTTATATGTGTATTTTTTCTGTATACATACACCGCCTCTCTTCTCCCATCAGCCTCCCCTCTCACCGACACTTTTCCCTTTCCCTAATTTTTTATACAGCAACATCAAAAACAGGTTGATTTGCTGTTGCACATACGCACAACAAATCAGCGGACAATTTAATTGTTTCCACAAATTTTCGCTTTTTTGGAGCGATTCTGCTCCTAATTTTTTAAGCAGAAGTGACTCGAGAGCACAAAAAAAACTCCCACTTCTCGAACACGTTTCGGTGCAATAGTTTTAGGTCAATTTCCATTTCATATCAAAAATGAGAATCATCTTTGATTTTGAAAATATGTCTCTTTATTTTTCAAACTATAAATACTCCCGCAGACTTGTCAGAAGTCAGGCGCACTCAGAAAAAATAGCAATCACTGTAGCTCTACCCATGGTACAATGATATCAAGGTAGGGCTATGATACCATATGATTTTAATTTTTTTTTATTCTCTTGGCTTAATATGTCATCTTTATTTGTTTATGTATGTATTTTCTTTTCAATAACAATTCGCCCAACATACCAAATTGACTTGAGAATAATATTTTAACAAGCTTACAAACATAAGCCTTAAGCTTGAGAAAATCTTGAGAATATATTGAGAAATGCTTGTTTAACAATTATAGAATAATCGAAACGGAACCCTTATTTATAAGCTTATTCTTGTAATTGCAGAATAAGCTTACGAAAGTAATATTATATTAAGCTTGCTAGTGCAATTTTAGAATAAGCTTACAAAACTAATATTTTCGTAAGCTTGCTGGTGCAATTGTAGAAGAAGCTTACAAAATTAATATTTTCGTAAGCTTATGTATTTATAAAAAAGTGTACGTATTTTTCAAAACTATTTACTCCATTTTTATTAATTCAGTTGTGTTTTACAATAAGATAATTAGTTCAACTAATATTAGTGAAAGTTATAATATTACTATGTTTTTTTTTTTAATTTACATTTTTTTTTGTTTTTGTAATCGTTTCGCAGCTTTATGCGATTTTTAGCGAATTGAAAGAAAGTGCGCGTGTCCTTAATGAATGTGTCCTCCGTGTAGCCCAATGATAAAGTTGCATCTATGAAATATAGAAATTAAGCGTTTTTTTCAGATACTATTGTTAAATAGAAATACTTCGTATTGCTTTTGTTGTACTAAAGTTGCGAACACTTCTCTTTGTCTCCGTCCCTTTCCAGCAGAGTCGTTCTCCCAATTCATCTGTTATTATTTTTTTCCAGCAATTCTTTACGAAATTTGGTGCCTTGGCAACAAGTTTCAGTTCGCTTTCCTGAAATTAGGGAAAGCATAGTGATATTATTATTTTTGTTTTAGTTAGTATTTTTGAACTAAATCATTTCCTGAACAAATTATAGAATGAAACTTACAAGAGAAATAAATGCTTCGTTTATTTCTTGGAGACCTTTTTCAAATTCCAGAAACGACTCAATGAACTTTTTGCAATTGGAAGACCGTCAATATTAAAATTTAATTCAATAGTGTCACCTTCGTATTTAGCGTTTGAAAAAAAATCGGTCAAGCAATCCTCCAGTCCATAGTGCACATATTCACCTCCTGCAATTGACATAACTGGAGCATCTCTAGGGGTTTTTTTAATGATCTAGCATCTTTTGGTAGGCTTGGTATCATCCTCCTCATAATTGTTAAAAGTTCATTCACTGCAGAGTTCGAAATTAAATGTTTCACACTCCACTTAGCCAACTCATCTTGAATATTAAGTTTTTCAATTGGAGACATAGTTGGAGCTTCGTCGCTTTCATTTTCACTCTCACTTTCATTTTCACATTGCACAGGAACTGGGTCGCTATTTATTTCACTAGTTTCCGACCGTTCTTTTGATACAATTTTTTTGTGTTGATTATCACTAAAAAGAAGTTCAACTACCTCTTTTGCTTCTCTTCTAACACTTTTTTTATATTTATAAGGCATTTTTAAAATATTACCAATTAATTTTTGCAAAACACAGCGAATAACTTTTTTTACATTAAAATTAATCAATAAATGCAAAACAAATTGTTTTCACCAAATAAATTTATCTACAAATGCAATGCCTACTCACTACGAAATGGTTGTGTGTTCAAAAAATTTTCAGACACACTTGCGAAACCTTTGTACAAATAAGCATTTCTAAAGTATTGTTAAAAATTTGTTGTGAAATTTCTTTTTAATAATATTATTCTCAAGTTGTGTTGTAGTTTTATTTTTATTTGGTATGTTGGGAAAAACAATCACAACATACCAAAATGGCTTGAGAATAATATTAAATAAAGCTTATGAACATAAGCCTTAAGCTTGAGAAAATCTTGAGAAAACATTGAAAAATGTTTGTGTAACAAGTATAGAATAATCGAAACGGAACCCTTATTTATAAGCTTATACTTGTAATTGTAGAATAAGCTTACGAAAATAATATTATATTAAGCTTATTTTTGCAATAGTATAAAATATTATTTTTTTAATTTTAAATCATTTTTCACATTTTTTTTTTTCTTGATGGACATCCCAGTAGTCACTGCCTCATGTGGCCTTGATACCTGACGCTTTCTTCTCCCTTATTTGAGCTTCTGCATATCTTCCACTAAGACTACACATCCATTGAATTCCTGAAACTTTTTTTAATGCTTCCAATCTGAAATGGGATTGGAATAATTTATGTGAAAGATTCCCGGATTTATTATTCATCCATACCTTAAGAGTTCGGTCCAGAAATGGGTCCTAAATTCGCGTGATTTTGTTTTTTACCAAAGAAAATATTTTCTTGCCGAAAATTTTCACAAAAAATCAAAACTAATTTGTCAACAAAGGACAGATTTGAGAAAAGTTTGTGGAACATAAGTTTTTCTCAAGCATTGTTGAAAAAATTCTATTTTTTTATAATATTGTTCTCAAGCTGTATTGTATTTTTGGTATGTTGGGATGTTATACACTCATACACTGTTATTTCAATCACAATAAATATTTCGGTAGCTAGTCTTATGATCAGCTGTAGTAAATGGAGTATTTTTATGCACAATGATATAACCATGGTACAATGAAGAGAAGGTAGGTCAACTTTGAAAAAATTGCAAGTATAGAGGTCTACCTGTTTGGCTTGTAATGTCAGAATTAGTATCAAAACAATAAAAAATCAAACAACTTGTTGCATTTATTTTGAATAAATAATTGAAAACCGCGAAAACTGAATGAATGGTTAACACTTCTTTTCAAAACCAGATTCTATATATCTCTAAAGGATTATTTCGCTACAAAAACTCTAGATTTTGTCGATGTATACGATGAAATAAACATTTTGAAAACATCCGAATTTGAATGTTTTCTGAACAATTTTTTTGTTATTGAAAAGAAAACACATACATAATAGCATGTTTCCATTGGAAACCGAACAACGTTGTTCGCTCTCAGAATTAGGTACACGAATTAACCCGTTCATACGGCACGATTCGTAATTCATAGTAAAATAATTCCTTTTTTCAAAAATTTTGTTTGTTGATTTTAAGGGGAATTTTAATAAATTACATTAAGTTCTCACTAATATGAATAGAATAAATGATTGTTTTTCTCCCAAAAATTTATTATATCAATAATTTTATAATTTTCATTCACGTTTTCAACTTTTTTGGTAAATGTTGACATTTTGAATATATTTTTGTATTTTTCTATTTTTAAATTCTGCTGGAGAGACACTTGTCAAACATTTTTTCTGTCAATACAAACATTTTGAAAATATTGCCTCTTTTGTTTGCAGTTTTCTGTGAAAATTTCAACTCGTGGACAAAATGCGTACCTCGGATGAGAGAGAAAACAAAATTTACTTTCGTTTGAATGTAAATACGCTATTCAACATTGTAGTTTTCATTCATAATTTTCAGTCTTCCCAAAATTTTTCAAAATTTCATTAAATTTTTCTATTTTCAATTTTTAAATGTCATAATTTTTTTTCTATAAATGCTCTCATTTGTTAGGGATGGAACATATTTTTTCGTTGTTCTGAGAGTGATTTGATTTGAACAATGTACAAATATGAGTGTTCGCTCAGGAAATTTTGTGTGAAGAATTAAGTAGTTTTTTCATAGTTAAGGGTCAAACAACGAATAGAGAGCGAATCAAGTGCAGTGGAAACGCCACATAAACAAATAAAAATGACATATTAAGCCAAGAAAATAAAAAAATTGAAATCATATGGTATCATTGCCCTACCTTGATATCATTGTACCATGGATATAACCATGGTAGAAGAATACAGATAGTCGCATCGGCACACCTGCTGGAACAATTAAAAATTTTGAGTGAAATATAACAAATATATAAAATATTCTTCTTTTGAAAAAAAAAACGTATTAAATTTTTTGGCATAACAATGTTCTAAATCGTTGATGCATCTACCTGTATTCTTCTACCATGAGTAAAACCATCAGCTTTTCTTATGCGGTTACCTTATCAGTGCGCCATTACTTTTGAAGATTTGTCCTGTACCACTTTTTTACAATTCAGTGTTTTAATATGTAGTTGACTACGAACATGTATTCAATTAAATATTGCAAAACCACTACTTACGTTTTTATTAAAACGGGCATCTTCTATTCTGTTACACTTTATAAAAATAATTGCTATAAAAAACACCACACTTGATCTCTAATGTTAGGCACAAACAAGATTTTTGTGCCGCTATTTTGATAGAAGTCTGCTGTTTAAGAACGGTGTTGCCAGTCTGTGTAAGCGAACTGTCAAATTTCTAACAATTTGAACAAGCTGTTCGTGTTTTTGTGTTTGTTGGGTTCCAGTAGTGTGGTTGGATTTGTTTACAATATTGAATTTTAGAAAAAATAAATTATATTTAATTATGTTGACAACTAAATTGTTACAAAGGCTTTCGAATAGCAGGAATGTTTTGATTCCAATGGTAAATAAAGAAATTAATGTAGTTTCCAAGATGAGCTTTGGTCCCAATGCGTTCTATCAAGTTCTTACATAAACATCGGTACTGCGTTATAAAAATAAACATCTTTTCAGATTTCAACTGCATCGAACGCACAAATACAACAATTAGTCCAGCCAGCAGATAACACCAACTCTAGCTTTAAACCTTTTTTCTTAAATACATGCAATATTGTTCTGCTAGCACTACAACTACAACGCCAACAACTGACCAAGGCAATGGAATCATAAAGAGAGTTTTGAAAAAAGTTGGGTTTACTCCAAATTCAAAAGCTGTAAGTAAGAAATGTATATATGTTGTGATTTAACATTTCTATTGATTCTCAAGCGTTTCGTTCTAAAGTGTTTCTCGAAAGCATTTATGACCTTAATACATTAAGGGAGTTTTTCTGGCATATGTCATTGCCTGGCTCCTAGCTCAAATGATGAGCTAGATTTGATCCAGGTAGGTGACTAATGCCAGTAAAAAATCCTTATATATCTGGAGAAGAATTTTTGGATCAAAGTGAATTTGTAGTATTTTTTTTTAATGAAAAGGTTAATCAAAGTAACATTTTACCCAATATGAGAAATAACACCCCGGTATTGTAACTACAAATGATATCATTTTCAAACCGATGTGTTCGGAACACAGAAAAATAATGCTGCGAAAATGGCGATAACTATTAATTATCTTTACAGAGGATACGTGTAGCCAGTCATATGCTGTATGAGAGTGTTGCGGATAAAATTAATTATTTAGCCTTCTTCAATGACTTCAATATGCCTAATACATTTAATTCATGGTTTTTGGTAACTGAATTACATGTATGGATGCTGTTATTGCGATCAATGGCCGAAGGATCGGAGTCTGGTGAAGATGGTCGATTTTTACGAAATTGCATTGTTGAAGCTTTATGGTCAGATGTTAATACCAGGGCTAAAAAATTGGGAGTGAGTACATAATTACCTTATATATTGTACCTGTAAAACATGTAATATTTTGTTACTTTTAAAATTATTTGTAGGCCAATAATCCCTCACGAACTCGCCAACAAATTGAAGAACTCTCCGAACAATTTCAGGCAGCTTTGATAGCCTATGACGAAGGTATTATGTCTGAAGATCGAGTATTGGCAGCTGCATTATGGAGACGTTTTTTCGCTTTAAATTGTGATGATTATGAAAAAATTGAACGACTGGTTAAATATGTGAGGCGTCAAGTGGTTATGCTAGATAATCTGTCCCGCCAAGATTTCCTAATTAAACCAAAAATACCCTGGCAGGATTTAAATAAAATTCATATTTAAGTTGTTTTCTGAATTGTACTATTCGCTAATTTTAAAAAATTAAAGTAAAATACGAGTTATTAAACAAGTAAAATTGAAAACTATAAAACAAACTACAAGCATGTTTATATATGTGATTGAATTAAATATTCGATTTCGAATGAACGCATTTACTGATACCTATTATATTAAAAATCGCTTATGTTTTATTTTTGAGTTGACGATTTTAGTCACCATTTTGGGTAGAAAACAGAAACAGACACTTGCAGAACAGGAAACGAATGAAGCTTTTCGATTGGCTTAGAGAAACAGGCCATTATTTTCATTTTTTGTTGTACATTAGACATATACATTTTGTTACACATGGAACTTCTCTTAAATGCCATCTGGATGAAAAAACATAAAAAAACGTTTTTTTCGCGGTAAAGAAAGGGCGACAATTCGTTCAATATAGTCGTACTTTTATGGTAATATTAAGAAGGTAACGTCAGACAATCATATGTCAACATTTTTTTTTTTTTTCAAAACTATATTTTTAACAACGTCTTATTATTCTTACATGGGTAGAATTGTGAAAAAGTTTAACCTAAACTACAACTATTACAATTCAACAACAGCCATATATTTGTTACCTTGACAGGATCCCATCTCTGATTTGAACATATACGTATTTTAACAATGAGATGTCAATAGTATAATTAAAAAAATGTAAACATACGATTGAGAGACGTTACCTCATTGATTTGTCCATGCTTTTCTTTTTTGTTCCAGTAACAATTATCATAAAAGAGAAATCGGTTATCGAAGTAACATTTTTAAATGCATGCAGATTCTGGAACAATGTATGACATTGACAACTCGTATTATGAATTATTTCTAGTAAATATGAATCGTCAATGAAATGTAGTAAAATTGAAATTGGTGAAAAAATGAATTATCTAAATAAAATGTATTTCTTAATTAAGGGAATATATTTTACATTGTTGTAGTCATTGGAAGCAAGCCTAGTACGATAATGATATTTATTGGAAATGCGCTTTTGAATGCGTAGTTTTCCTTTATTTACATTAAGATTTGATTTCACAGGCGACGTTTTTTTTTTACTTTCTACCAATAAATTTTCATATGTTTGATGTTTTAAATTGTTGTAAAACAACTCTTGCTGTTGTTGTTATTCTGATACCATGCGTATTTTTGTTTTACGGCTCGAGGTATATGATGATGAGGTGCTTTTTAGAAATTAATTCAATACGTTATAAATACTAATGCTTCCTAAATATATAAATCTTCTATGCCTTGATTGTTTAAAGCTCTTAATTGGCATTTACATAGAAATGCTAGAATCCTTCTTTCAATGCGTTCTCTTGGTTCACCATCAAATCCCATGTAAAGCGCTTCAATTCGTCTAATAGTATCTGTAGTATCTTCGACAATGGTATCCTCTGTGCCCACAATCTCCTCGGCAATTTCTTCAATTATCGAAAAAGAATCAGAAAATTGTTCTTCCAATTGATGGGTTTCCTCGTGCTCAGTTGTTTGCAGTTCGATATGGAAGTCGCTTCCCATATCGTTTTCTTCATTGTCTTCATTGTCATCAGTCATTTTCGAATTGGAGTCATCGGATTCCCAGAAATTGTTGGTTTCTTGCAACAAGTCGGGAATTTCCTTTGGTTTGCGTTTTCTTTCTCTTTCCTTCTTTGGTTTGTAGGCTTGTACGGTGCATTCCAGAAACCGCATTCTATCCAAGTATGGCCAGGTAGAACCACGAATCACACCACTTTTGGGGCAAAGCTCATTACAATGTTTAAGCTCTTTTTGAAATTGTCCTCTTAAATTGTTCCATCGACTTAAACAAAATTGAACTAAGAACAAAATTGTTATGGTTTTGTAGAGAACAAGGAAACTTGTGGTACATTTACCTTGACAACCCATTTCATTGGCAATTTCTTGCCAGACTTTGTTTTTCGTCTTCATTATCTCAAAGGAGGACATTCCAGGTATCTGTCTCATGTATATCACGGGGTGAGGCTCAACCAATGAAATCAATTTAAAATCAAATGGTCGATTCTTTTGTGGCTTGTTTTGGTCATTGTTTTATTCTATCGTACTTTATTATTTACATTTAATAATCAAAACGTAAACAAATATGCTGCGCCGTAATGCACGGTTTGTAATCGGCGTCGTAAAAAACAGTGCTGACAACATTTAAAATACGACCAAATATCTATTTGGTAGGGTTCACATATGAAGATTGAATACTTGAACTACATATATGAATTTTATAGCATGTTCCCAGGGGATTTAGAACAACATTGTTCGTTTCTTCTTACCTTTTGTTGCCAGAATTTTATGAAAATTTGGACCAAAGCGAATGTAATATGCATTGAAAGGAACAGGAAAAATAATTGTCGTATTTTGCTTTGTATTTACAATTGTACTTTTTATTTTGCTTTTTAAAACGCATAATTCATTGTTTGAATATATGCTCTCATTTGTTAGAAATGATATAGACAAATGGAATGCTCTCACAGTTTATCTTCAAAAATTTCGTATCGGAAGAGGTCGTTTTCGTTGAAGGGGCATGAGTGAAAATATTGAAGTCACTTAAAGTCTTTTCCAGAACTGCAAGAATGTACAATATTTTACTACGATAACTAATTTTTATTACTTTATGAAATAGGAAAAAAATTAAAACTAGTAGATTCTGTTGTTGCAAAATGGTCAGGCTTTATCCCTTTATTGTTGTTTTTATAAAAACAACGTTTGTTTATTAGTGGAGAACGATGGTAATGTTTACCAGGGGGTAAGGCAGGGAAACCTAGGTTTCGGAAAGAGCCACCAATACTCATCAGGTTCCCTTGTTTTTTATCTGGGATATTCTCCCCAGAAGTTATTATACCCTACAACACTATGTGTTGGGGGTATTATAAGTTTGATTGGGCCAAAAATTATGTAACACCACGAAATATTGATTTCCCACATAGGAAAGTATATATGGATCTTTCTATCTCGCCGAGCTGAGTCGATCTAGCTATGTATGTCCGTCCGTCTGTCCGACTAATCGACGCGGAATTTCGCATGTAGATAGAGTTTAGGGCGGGGAAGAAGCCTACCAATTTGGGTGGTTATCGGATAATATTTAGCGGGTAAAATAGACCACATCTTTTTTGTTGAAAAAAAAAAAAAAAAAAAAAAAAAAATCAAAATTTTCCATTAAACCGCGAATATTTTAAATCCCGGCGAAATCACAAAGCCATGACAAGGTTACTCTCCTGATCTTTACATTGATGTTAACATACAACAAATCGGATATATAGCAAATATGTGCGATATATGTGTCTATCAAAGAAGATATGTTTGAAAGAGCTCTTATATGTCGAGAACGGCTGAACTGATTTCGACAGTTCTCATTAATTCAGAATAGCCTCTTGGCAGGAAAGAAAAAACGTCTAAAAAATCGCATAAAAATATCTCTCTAAAGATGAAAATATTGATTTTGTAACATTTTGGCATATTTTTTCAATTTTGTCATATTTTTGGCATATTTTCATTTGAATTAAACATTTGGTAATATTTCTACAGCTAACAAAACTAAGTAGTTAGGATATCAGGATATCATATACAGATCGCATTTATGGCCCGATCCTAACTAAAATTTGCATGGGGATCAGATGAGGGTCAGAATAGAAAGCCTACTCTTTTTGAAGATGATCGCCATATATTTAGGGGTTGAAATGGAAATAACTGCAAATTGTCAGCAGGTCGTAATTATTGCCCGATCCTCACGCGCATTTGAATGGGGGTTACGGGCATTGCAAAAAGCCAAGCAGTGTTGCCAATGTTAATCTTTTGCCACTTCTGAGAGATTATAGGTCTTTGGGAAATATTGGTTCCAGATCTAGGAAGACCATTTAAGTGCAACATCTACCAATAAATTGGAAATGAGCAAATTAGTTTAAGTTGCTATTATTCGAAAATTAGAGAACGAAACCTGATGGTTTTCTTTTATTATTTGTCACAATATCTTGTGGAATTCTTTCGAGTATCTCGCCTATATAAACTGTATCGTTTATTATAGTGTGTAGGGTATTCAACGGTCGGTCCCGCTCGACTGTAACCTTTGCTTACTTGTTTTAAAAATAACTTCTATGACAAAAAACGTTTTTTACCCAAGTGACGAGATCGTAAGCTCAATAGAAGAGGAACCAAAGAATTAAATAAAACTAAAATTCTTCTGGAAAGTCTTCTAAATCTTACCACCGCACTTATAAACATTTACATCTTTCTCCACTTGTTATGCTTTATAAGTGCGGTTGTAAGATTTAGAAGACTTTCCAACTGCAAATTATTCCAGTGACAGCTCATTATATGTTTACAAGCGTACAAAAGCATTTTGGTGAGAATTTTTCAGAAAAAAAAATTATTCGTGATGGAATTCAAGCGTGATAGTGTGATTTCTTTATATTTGGCTGGAAAACTACATGTGGCCATCGTTACAGCACTCCAGCATTTAAATGTGAAAAGGTCTCTTGTGTCTCGTATCATCGCTCGTTACCGTGATACTGGTAGCGTAGCCCGGCGTCAAGAAAGTGGAGGGAAGAAAACCGCAACATCAGCAGAAATGGTTCGAAAAGTAAAGAAGCGACTTGATAGAAACCCGCGTCGCAGTGGCAGAAAAATGACTCCTGAGCTGAACATATCGCAATATTCCGTTCGGCAAATATTGAACAATGAACTCGGGATGAGGCCATTAAAATTCCAAAAAGTGCAAGAACACACACCGCAACAGAAAGAAAATAGACTCAAAAGAGCTGAAGAGTTTCTTCGCTTGGCCGAAAGTGGTGAAAGGCCGAATTTGGTTTTCTCCGATGAGAGAAACATTCGTTGTCCAGCAGTTTGTAAACGAACAAAATGATCGTGTTTACTTGCCAAAGAGGTCACCTAAAAATGTGCACCTTCGACTGGTCACCAGAACTCAAGCGCCGGCCATGGTGATGATGTGGGCCGCCATAACAGCCGATGATCGCTCTCCGCTCGTATTAATCGACTGTGGCATCAGAATAAATGCCGAATATTATCGCAAAAATATTCTGGAGGGTGTATTAAAGCCTTAGGCACGCAAAAATTTTGCCCGCAGACCTTGGACATTCCAATAGAACTCAGCACCATCGCACTCAGCACGCACCACCCAAGAATAGTTACAAAATTAGTTTCCTCACTTCATTTCCACCGCACAATGGCCACCAAAATCTCCGGACACCAATCCGTTGGACTATTGTGTCTGGAGTATTTTGGAAAGCAAAGTTGACGCTTCGCCGGGAATGGGCTAAAATACCGCAGAGCAACATTCGGGCAGCGTGTGACGGTTTCATTGGCCGTTTGAAGGCCAATTTGTGCCAAAGGTAACCAATTCGAACAAATCTAAACTTATTCTAAAATTTGATGCTATTTCCGACATTTTTTGCTTTCATTCAATAAAATTTTTGTTTGTTGCAGTTTTTTATCTTACCCTGTATGCACAATTTTAGCATTCAATCTCAATGCGTTCGAAAGATATAGTGATTACAACAGACAGACAGATCGTCTTAGACGGACAGACAGATTGTCTTAGTATTTTACGCTGATCCAGAATATATATATATATATACATACATATATATCTATATATATAAAAATCAATTGTTGTTTGTTGGTAACGGAATCAGTTGAAAACGGCTGGACCGATTTGCATAATTTTTTGTACAAACGTTCGTCATACCCCGAGTTAGGTTTTTAAAGAAAAAAATATTGACCACGCCTCCTTTTACGCCCTCTATTACGATTTATCTAAAATCTTTATATTTGCCAATATAGTGAAGATATCGGTTTAAGAATTATTACACGAGATACTGTTGGCTTTCCATCCAACCCTAAGTACTTATTTAGGGGCTGAGGAACGCGCCTACTTTTAAATCTATCTCTCTATATATAAAAGAAAGTTGTGTTAGTTACTACTCTTATAACATAAAGACCGCCGGTCTGATTTTAACGATTCAGACAAATTCGGAATTGCCTCTTAGTAGAAAAGAATAAAATCCAAAAAAATCGCGTAAAAATTAAAATTTGAACATTTTCATTTTGACTTTTAAAATGTACAATAGTAATGTTTTATATTGTATATTTTTTTCCATTTTGACTTACTATTTTCGAATGTACATTTGTAGTGTTTTTTTTTTTTTTTTTTTGAATTCTAATATGATGTGTAGGTTTTTTTTGGGTAAAATAAAGCCAGAACGGATAAAACTGTTATTTATAGATTTTATGTATTTACTCGTAATACCCAATAAATACATAAAATCTATAAATAACAATTTTATCCGTTGTCGCTTTATATGAAAATTCTAAAATCGGGAAAAATCGACAATTTTTCAATGGAATCGAATTTCAAAATAATAGTACATTCTACCGACAAACTTCGTAATCACCTTTAAAAATTTGCCGCAAAAAATAAGCGAACCAGTTGAAGATTCTTTTTCTTTTTTCTATATTGAAGTGTACATTTTTTATTGGTTTGAATTCTGAATGAATAATATTAAAAATTAAATGCTTTCTACTCCAGGACCTACATCGTGCTTCAGCCAGAAGATGCGAACACATTTAAACAAACAAAAATGACCGAAGAAGCGTTATGGGGTTAATTTCAAAAAGTGGACCTGCTTCTTTCATATGACAATAAATTGTCAAATGAGAACACAAAATACAAAATACATTGGGACTGCAATCAGTCAAATACCGACTATAAAGAACGCATAATAGAAATTCTACCTAAACATTCAAGATACCTTTAATCGCTTTGGCAGGTCAAGTTATGGATCATAACCCCTGATAACGGAACAACCCGATTTGAAGTATTTGAAGTAACCATATTTTTATACCCTACAACACTATGTGTTGGGGGTATTATAAGTTTGATTGGGCCAGAATTTATGTAACACCTCGAAATATTGGTTTCCCATATAGGAAAGTATATATGAATCTTCCTAGCTCGCCGAGCTGAGTCGATCTAGCTATGTATGTCCGTCCGTCCG